TTAGGGAAAATAGTATTTAAAAACATAAAAATTATAAAAATAATAGACTAAAAAGTAAAAAAACAAAAACAAAAAATACTACACCCTCATAAGAAAATAATAATTTTTAAAAATATATAAATAATAAAAGCAAAAGAAAGAAGAAAATTAAAGGGGAAAGAAGAAAAACCTAAAAATTTATTACAAAACTAATAAATAATTAAAAAGTTATATTATTAATAAACAAAAATAGTTGAACAAATAAAATAATTAATAAATAAAATAAAAATAAAACTGCATACGAATGCATGTTTGTACAGGCGGCATTCAAAAGCAAAAAACAAAAAATGGATGAAAGCAAACACCGAATAATACAAGTATTTAAAAAATATTGGTCAAATATTTTCTACTTGTAAATAGAAAACAATATAAAATAACAAATAAAAAAATATTAAATAAAATAATAATAATAATAACAACAACAAGGTAGAAAAGTTTGTCAACCACAACAAAAATATTAAACAAAAAAAAAACATTATATTAATATAATTATTATATTATGATTATTATCATTAATTATTATTAATTATTATTAAAACTTATAAATTCAATTATAAATTATTATCATTATTATTAATTATGATCATTGATAAAATAAAATAAAACAAGAATTTTTAATAAAAAAATTAAAAAAAAACCCTCTACACACACAGAAAAATAATTATTATTTATTATTACAGCATAAACATAATAATAAAAAAAATAAATAATAATTAATCCCACAATAAAATAAAAATCTAAAACAAAACAAAAAACACTTTGAATCCACAACAAAATAAATGAAAAAAGTAAAATCTTTAAATTACTAAAAAAACAAAACTATATATTAAATAACATTATTATACATATAAAAACATAAAACTAACAATTAATTAAAAACCATAAACCCCACCCCCTCCTTCCCCCATAAATTAATTAAACAAATTACATTATTAGACTTTATTATTAACAAATAAAAAAATAAAGTCCAAAACTTATTTTCATTTCTTTACTTTTTTCTTTTAAAACTTAAATAAATCTGATAAGAAATCAATCCCATTTTTATTAATTCATTATTATTAAAATAATTACTAACAAAAACACAACAAAAAATAAAAATAATAAACAAACAACAACAAAAAATATTAATTATATATTATACAAGAAAATGAAAATAATAAAAAGAAAAATAAATAAAAAAAATGCGAAAAACCATAAAAATATTAATTAAAAATGCAGATTATATATTATATACTTTATAGAAATTTAAAACCAAAATAATAAAAACAAAAAAACAAACAAATGATGAATAAAGTTATAAAAATAAACTTTTAAAAATATTATAAAAAAAAATCCAAAAAAGTGTTTTATTTAAGGGAAAAGGTTCTAGATCAATAAAACTCGAACTGGGAAACATAATAAAAAGCTGCAGACTCCTAATTTCTAAATAAAAGATTTTCTGTAGAAGTTTTTAAAACGATTTTCTTCACAAAAGTTTTCCTTATAAAAGATTTTCTATAGAAAAGTCTTCCTCATGAAAGATTTTCTATAGAAAAGTCTTCCTTTTAAAAGTTTTTCTACAGAAAAGTCATCCTTTTAAAATATTTTTTACAGAAAAATCTTCCTTTTAAAAGATTTTCCATTGAAAATACTTCCTGATGAAAGATTTTCTATAGAAAAGTCTTCCTTTTAAAAGATTTTCTATAGAAAAGTCTTCCTTTTAAAAAATTTTCTATAGAAAATTCTTTCTGATGGTAGATTTTCTATAGAAAAGTCTTCCTTATAAAAGATTTTCTGCAGAAGTCTTCCTGATGAATGATTTTCTATAGAAAAGACTTCCTGATGAAAGATTTTCTATAGAAAAGTCTTCCTTATAAAAGATTTTCTGCAGAAGTCTTCCTGATGAAAGATTTTCTATAGAAAAGTCTTCCTAATGAAAGTTTTTCTAAAGAAAAGTCTTACTGATGAAAGATTTTCTATAGAAAAGTCTTCCTGATGAAAGATTTTCTATAGAAAAGTCTTCCTGATAAAAGATTTTCTATAGAAAAGTCTTCCTGATGAAAGATTTTCTATAGAAAAGTCTTCCTTTTAAAATATTTTCTACAGAAAAATCTTCCTTTTAAAATATTTTCTATAGAAAAGTCTTCCTTTTAAAAGATTTTCTATAGAAAAGTTTTCCTTTTAAAAGACTTTCTATAGAAAAGTCTTCCTTTTAAAAGATTTTCTATAGAAAATTCTTCCTGATGATAGATTTTCTATAGAAAAGTCTTCCTTATAAAAGATTTTCTGTAGAAGTCTTCCTGATGAATGATTTTCTATAGAAAAGACTTCCTGATGAAAGATTTTAAAAAGAAAAGTCTTCCTTTTAAAAGATTTTCTATAGAAAAGTCTTCCTTTTAAAATATTTTCTATACAAAAGTCTTCCTGATGATAGATTTTCTATAGAAAAGTCTTCATGATGAAAGATTTTTTATAGAAAAGTCTTCCTGATGAAAGATTTTCTATAGTAAAGACTTCCTGATGAAAGATTTTCTATAGAAAAGTCTTCCTTTTAAAAGATTTTCTATAGAAAAGTTTTCCTTTTAAAAGATTTTCTATAGAAAAGTCTTCCTGATGAAAGATTTTCTATAGAAAAGTCTTCCTGATGAAAGATTTTCTATAGAAAAGTCTTCCTGATGAAAGATTCTCTATAGAAAAGTCTTCATGATGAAAGATTTTCTATAGTAAAGTCTTCCTGATGAAAGATTCTCTATAGAAATTCTTTCTTTTAAAAGATTCTCTATAGAAAAGTCTTCCTTTTAAAAGATTTTCTATAGAAAAGTCTTCCCTTTAAAAGATTTTCTATAGAAAAGTCTTCTTTATAAAAGATTTTCTGTAGAAGTCTTCCTGATGAAATATTTTCTATAGAAAAGTCTTCCTGATGAAAGATTTTCTAAAGAAAAGTCTTCCTGATGAAAGATTTTCTATAGAAAAGTCTTCCTGATGAAAGATTTTCTATAGAAAAGTCTTCCTGATGAATAATTTTCTATAGAAAAGTCTTCCTGATGAATAATTTTCTATAGAAAAGTCTTCATGATGAAAGATTTTCTATAAAAAAGTCTTCCTTTTCTACAGAAAAGTATTCCTTTTAAAATATTTTCTACAGACAAAGCTTCCGTTTAAAAGATTTTCTATTGAAAAGACTTTCTGATAAAAGATTTTCTATTGAAAAGACTTCCTGATAAAAGATTTTCTATAGAAAAGTCTTCCTTTTAAAAAATTTTCTATAGAAAAGTCTTCCTGATGAAAGATTTTCTATAGAAAAGTCTTCCTGATGAAAGATTTTCTATAGAAAAATCTTCCTGATGAAAGATTTTCTATAGAAAAATCTTCCTGATGAAAGATTTTCTATAGAAAAATCTTCCTGATGAAAGATTTTCTATAGAAAAATCTTCATGATGAAAGATTTTCTATAGAAAAGTCTTCCTGATGAAAGATCTTCTATAGAATAGTCTTCCTGCTGAAAGATTTTCTATAGAAAAGTCTTCCTGATGAATGATTTTCTAATGAAAAGTCTTCCTGATGAAAGATTTTCTATAGAAAAGTCTTCATGATTAACAAGATTTTCTATAGAAAAGTCTCCCTTTTAAAAGATTTTCTATAGAAAAGTCTTCTTTTATAAGATTTTCTATAAAAAAGTCTTCCTGAAGAAAGATTTTCTATAGAAAAGTCTTCCTGATGAATGATTTTCTATAGAAAAGTCTTCCTGATGAATGATTTTCTATAGAAAGGTCTTCCTGATGAAAGATTTTCTATAGAAAAGCCTTCCTTATAAAATATTTCCTATAGAAAAAGTTCATGACTGGAACTTTCTGTTACAAATGAAAGTTTTTCTATAGAGAAAGTTTCTGTTGAGAGTTTCTCTATAAAGTTGCTATCATAAGTTAGTTTTTCAAAACAAAAAAGTTTCTGTCGAGAGGTTTTTCTATATGAAATGTAAATGCGAAAAGATTTTCTATAGATAAAGTTTCTGTCGAGAATTTTTCTATAGAAAACGTTTGTTTTGGAAAGATTTTCTATAGAGAAAGTTTATGAAGAGAGTTTTTCTGTAGAAAAAGTTTCAGTCGAGAGTTTTTCTATAGAAAAAGTTCTTGTCATGAGATTTTCTGTTGCAAAAGTTTCCATATAGTTTTTCAAAACAAAAAAGTTTCTGTGGAGAGATTTTCGAAACGAACAACTTTCTGTCGAGAGTTTTTCTATAGAAAAAGTTTCTGCCTAGAGTTTTTCTATAGAAAAAGTTTCTGTCGAGAGTTTTTCTATAGAAAAAGTTTCTGTCGAGAGTTTTTCTATAAAAAAAATATCTGTCCAGAGTTTTTGTATAGAAAAAGTTTGTGTCGAGAGTTTTCTATAGAAATAGTTTCTATTGGGAGTTTTTCTATAAAAAAAGTTTCAAGGGTTTTCCTAAAGAAAAAGTTTCATTCAGGAGTTTTTCCAAAAAAATAGTCTCTGTCGAGAGTTTTTCTATAGAAAAAGTTTCTGTTGGGAATATTCCTTTAGAAAAAGCTTCTGTCGAAAGTTTTTCTTTAGAAATCCTTAAATTACGCTTTATATGAGAAAACAGTGAAAATCTGGTATAAATCATATTTTCCATAAAAGATTGATTTTTATGTAAGGAACCTATAATCGGATATTTATCCATAAATAATTCACCAAATAAACAAGTAACAAAAAATTCATATTTTCCAACAAAAATCGACTTTTATACGAAATAGCTTAAATCGAATGTAGATCCATAAATAATGGAGCGTGATTTTCCATAAAAATTATTTATATATTAAAAAACCATAAGTCAAATGTAGATCCCTAAATTACGCTTTAAATGAGATCGGGAATATCGATCAACAAACTTGTTGTATAGTTTTATATTGTTTTTCTTTTTATTTTCTTTTACGTGATAGTATTTTTAATAATTTTACACTTTTCCACAAAAGCCGGGCAGCAACTTTTAAAATTTCTTACAAAAATTTATATTTACACACACTTTCTTTAACAAACAATTTCATTTTTAACAATTAAGCAGTAATTTTTGTCACCAATTCCCTAAAGGTGGCAGCTGTACCGGACTCGGGCAATTCAGTCAAAACCGAACGTGTAGTACCATTTAAAACGCTAACACGAGGATCTATAGGCACCGTACCCAAATGGGGAACACCCACCAACTTGGCCAGTTCTACACCACCCTCCGAAGAGAATATATTCGTACAATTGGCACAGTGGGGACACACAAAACCGCTCATATTCTCTACTATACCCAAAATTTGTATGCCGGTCTTTTTGCAAAAGGTTATTTCTTTGCGTACATCATCTAAGGCCACTCCCTGTGGAGTGGTCACTATAATGGCACCATCACAACGAACCTCACGCATACATTCCATAACTGTAATGTGTTCGTCTGAGGTGCCGGGTGGTGTATCTATGATTAAATAATCTAAATCATCCCATTTAACATCGTTTAAAAATTGCTTTATCATCATAGTTTTCTTGGGACCACGCCAAATGACTGGATCATTGCGTGATTTCAGTAGGAAACCTATAGACATAACAGCCAATGTTTTAGTGTCATCTGTATAGATAGGCACCCAACCCTCGTCACATTGATAGATATCACTACCCTCCAGACCCAATAGATAGGGTACCGAAGGTCCACATAAATCTATATCTAAAAGTCCTACCTGTAAGGGAATTTTAAAGGGGAGAAAAAGTATTACTTTTAGTGTGCCTTAGTTTTTATTCACAATAACTTACCTTATGACCGCTTTCCCTTAAGGCCAACGCCAGCTGTGTGCTTACGGTGGATTTGCCCACACCGCCTTTGCCAGACAACACTAATATTACATGTTTCACTTTATCTAACATTTCACTTGCTTTTTCTTTTATTTATTTTTAATTAATTTATTTAATTTTTAAATTATTTTATTTTTATTCTTAATTTTTTCTATTAAATTCGGTAAATCACTAATAATTTCACAAATTTACAAACTTTTTGCAATGTTTTCTGGGTTTACACTAACAGCTGTTTTTGCGCCATTGCAGAGATGATTTTTTATGTACTTTTGCAGGGTAAGTAAACAATTGGAAAAAAATGTGAACAAACAAAAAAATCTAAATAATGAAAATAATATTTTAAAAATATTTTAGTATGGTCTATATACTATAGATTATATACTATAATATAGACTAGACTACAGATTAGACTTTAAACTAGACTATAGACTACACTATAGACTAGATTATAGATTAGAATATAGATTAAACTTGACTATAGACTAAATTACAGATTAGACTAGACTATAGACTAGACTAAATACTTGACTATAGACTAGACTATAGACTAGTCTATAGACTAGACTATAGACTAGTCTAGAGACTAGACTATAGAATAGACTATTTACTAGACTATAGACTAGACTATAGACTAGAATATAGACAAGACTATAGACTAGACTATAGACTAGACTGTAGACTAGACTAAACTATAGACTAGACTAAACTATAGACTAGACTAAACTATAGACTAGACTAAACTATAGACTAGACTAAACTATAGACTAGACTAGAGAATAGAATAGAGACTAGACTACAGATTAGACTTTAAACTAGACTATAGACTACACTATAGACTAGATTATAGATTAGAATATAGATTAAACTTGACTATAGACTAAATTACAGATTAGACTAGACTATAGACTAGACTAAATACTTGACTATAGACTAGACTATAGACTAGTCTATAGACTAGACTGTAGACTAGTCTAGAGACTAGACTATAGACTAGTCTAGAGACTAGACTATAGATTCGACTATAGACTAGACTATAGACAAGACTATAGACTAGACTATAGACTAGACTATAGACTAGACTATAGACTAGACTATAGACTAGACTATAGACTAGACTGTAGACTAGACTATAGACTAGACTAACCTATAGACTAGACTAAACTATAGACTAGACTAAACTATAGACTAGACTAAACTATAGACTAGACTAAACTATAGACTAGAATAGAGACTAGTTTATAGACTAGACTATAGACTAGAATAGAGACTAGTTTATAGACTCGACCATAGACTAGACTATAGACTAGTTTATAGACTAGACTATAGACTATAGACTAGACTATATACTAGACTATAAACTAGACTATAGACTAGACTATAGACTACTCTATAGACTACTCTATAGACTAGACTATAGACTAGACTATAAACTAGACTGTAGACTAGACTGTAGACTAGACTTTAGACTAGACTAAACTATAGACTAGACTGTAGACTAGACTTTAGACTAGACTAAACTATAGACTAGACTATAGCCTAGACTATAGACTAGACTATAGACTAGACTATAGACCAGACTATAGACTAGACTATAGACTAGACTATAGACTAGACTATAGTCTAGACTATAGACTAGAATATAGACTAGACTATAGACTAGACTATAGACTAGACTAGATAGACTATACTATAGACTAGACTATAGTCTAGACTATAGACTAGACTATAGACTAGACTATAGACTAGACTATAGACTAGACTAATGATAGACTAGACTATAGACTAGACTAAGACTAGCATAGTCCTAGACTAGTAGACTATAGACAGAACTATAGACTAGACAAGACTAGACTAAGACAAAATATTAAGACTATACTATAGACGAGACTATAGACTAAGACTATGACTAGACTATAACTAGACTATAGACTAACGAAGACTAGACTATAGACTAGACTATGACTAGACTTAATAGACTAGACTATAGACTAACCTATAGACTATACTATAGACTAGACTATAGACTAGATATAGACTAGACTATAACTGAAACTATAACTAGATTTATAGACTAACTATGACTAGACTTATAGACTATACTATAGACTAGACTATAGACAGACTATAGACCTAGACATAGACTAAACTATAAGCCTAGACTATAGACTGACTATAGACCTAGACTATAGACCAGACTATAGACTAGACTATGACTAGGACTATAGACTAGACTATAGTCTAGACTATGACTAGAATATAGACTAGACTATAGACTAGACTATAGACTAAACTATAGACTAGATTATAGACTAGACTATAGACTAGACTATAGACTAGACTATAGTCTAGACTATAGACTAGACTATAGACTAGACTATAGACTAGACTATAGACTAGACTATAGACTAGACTAATGACTAGACTATAGACTAGACTATAGACCTAGACTATAGACTAGACTATAGACTAGACTATAGACTAGACTATAGACTAGACTATAGACTAGACTATAGACTAGACTATAGACTAGACTATAGACTAGACTATAGACTAGACTATAGACTAGACTATAGACTAGACTTATAGACTAGAACTATAGACTAGACTATAGACTAGACTATAGACTAGACTATAGACTAGACTATAGACTAGACTATAGACTAGACTATAGACTAGACTATAGACTAGACTATAGACTAGACTATAGACTAGACTATAGACTAGACTATAGACTAGACTATAGACTAGACTATAGACTAGACTATAGACTAGACTATAGACTAGACTATAGACTAGACTATAGACTAGACTATAGACTAGACTATAGACTAGACTATAGACTAGACTATAGACTAGACTATAGACTAGACTATAGACTAGACTATAGACTAGACTATAGACTAGACTATAGACTAGACTATAGACTAGACTATAGACTAGACTATAGACTAGACTATAGACTAGACTATAGACTAGACTATAGACTAGACTATAGACTAGACTAATGACTAGACTATAGACTAAACTATAGACTAGATTATAGACTAGACTATAGACTAGATAACTAGACTATAGACTAGACTATAGACTAGACTATAGACTAGACTATAGACTAGACTATAGACTAGACTATAGACTAGACTATAGACTAGACTATAGACTAGACTATAGACTAGACTATAGACTAGACTATAGACTATAGACTAGACTATAGACTAGACTATAGACTAGACTATAGACTAGACTATAGACTAGACTATAGACTAGACTATAGACTAGACTATAGACTAGACTATAGACTAGACTATAGACTAGACTATAGGCTAGACTATAGACTAGACTATAGACTATAGACTAGACTATAGACTAGACTATAGACTAGACTATAGACTAGACTATAGACTAGTCTATAGACTAGACTATAGACTAGACTATAGACTAGACTATAGACTAGACTATAGACTAGACTATAGACTATACTATAGACTAGACTATAGACTAGACTATAGACTAGACTATAGACTAGACTATAGACTAGACTATAGACTAGACTAGACTATAGACTAGACTAAACTATAGACTAGACTATAGACTAGACTATAGACTAGACTATAGACTAGACTATAGACTAGACTATAGACTAGACTATAGACTAGACTATAGACTAGACTATATACTACACTACAGACTAGACTATAGACTAGACAAGACTATAGACTAGACAAGACTATAGACAAGACTATAGACTAGACTAGACTATAGACTAGACTAGACTAGACTATAGACTAGACTAGACTAGACTATAGACTAGACTATAGACTAGACTATAGACTAGACTATAGACTAGACTATAGACTAGACTATAGACTAGACTATATACTACACTACAGACTAGACTATAGGCTAGACAAGACTATAGACTAGACAAGACTAGACAGGACTATAGACTAGACAAGACTATAGACTAGACTGTAGACTAGAATATAGACTATAAATTAGACTATACTAAAGATTTCATTATAGACTGGACTATAGTCTAATCTATGGTGTAGTCTGAAATCTAGTCTGTAATCTGGTCTATATCTTAGTCTATCAAGTTCTTCTTGGAGACAATATTAACCCTTTTAAGATACTTTTTTTTTTTTTTTTTTGAAAAACTTACCCGTTAAGCGTTTTCCTTTAAAAAAAGCTGTAACCCTAGTTTTTGGATGTGTTTTATTTGTTTGAAATTAATTAAAAAAAAAAAGAAAAACGCTAGAGTTCTTTGACATTGAAATAAAAACATATATATATATATTTTGTATTTTATTTTAATCATACATATAGATTTTTGTTTAAATATTTATTCATTTAAATATAATATTTTGTTGTTAATTTAATGTGGTGTATTTGTATTATAAATTTTTATTTATTTTCTTTATTTTTTTTTTTGCTTTCTTTCATAAACATAAAATATTTTTTTTATTTATTTTTAAATTATTTTAATATTTTTCTTTAAATATATTTAAATAAGTGTATGTGGTTTTCTTTTAAGTTTTATTTCTTTTAAACATTTTTGTGTTGTTTGTACATATTTTGTTTATATATTTTTTATTAAATTTAATTAAATATTTTATTGTTTTTTAAAATTAAAAATTTTTTTTATTTGTTATATAAATTAATTCATGTTTTTGTTTTTGTTTTTGTTTTAATAAAAATAACTTATAAACTAAGTTTTTTTATATAGATTTGTATCTATTTTATTTATTAATTAGTTTAAAGTTTATTTTAAATTATTTTAAATATATAATTTTGTTTTTATATTTTAAATTTATAATAATAATTATAATAAAAATAAATTTGTTTTTTTTTTTGTTTTATACAGTCTGAAGCTTGTTTAAAAAAGTTTATATCCATTTATAATGAATAATGAAACTTTTTCTTAATAAAAAATAAAATAAAAATTAAAAAAAAAACAAATTTTTAAAATTGTAAATAAATTTTCATAGAATTTTTAGGATTTTGGTATATAAAAAAAAAATTTAAAATGATAAATTCGTTACACTAAATTAAATTTTATAAAAAATAATAATAAAATAATTAAAAGCGGCAGTTCTCCAATAACCTTAATAAATTAATAATTAAATAATAGTAACGAATTTGTTTTAAGAAAAATAAAAGCAAATTTTGAAAAGATTTTTATATAAAAAAAAATATTTAAAAATTAAAAAAAATCAGAAATAAAAGTTTAGTGCTTTAGCCCTATTTTTGTTTACAAGGTCAAAGTTCAATTTTGTGTTAAAGCTCTTTAAAACCTTAAAAGTCCTTAACAATTTTAACAAAAATTTAAAAAATTCCTTTTTCTTACTTTTTATATAAATAAATTGTTTACTTTTCTCTTTTTATGCTCTTTTAATTTGCTCTCTTTTTTTTGTATTTTGTTGTAGTATTTAAAAATAAACTCTCTACTATACATTTATTTAAATTTAATTTTCTTTTCTTTTAAAATTATTATTATTTTTTTTTATTTTTTTGTGAATTTTTTTTTATTAAATATGTTTAAATTTTTGTTGTTGTTGTTATTTTGTTTTATTAATAATTGAGCACCCTTCTCTTTTTTAATGGTATTTTGGCATTTTGTTGTTTTAACCAATCCTCCTTAGCTACCACAATGACACCACCTCTTAGCTACTTTGTTTTTAATTTTTTACGTACATGATGCGTAGATATTGTCACCGTACTAGAGGAGGATGAAGAGGAGGATCCCGCTAAGGTTGAGGTGGAAGTAGGTGTACCTAGGTTATTATTATCTGTTGCATTTGCCGTTGTTGTAGAGAGATTCGTTTTAGTTTTATGTATAGCATTAGTAGCTGTGGTAAGGTTGGAGGAGGACGAGGAGGAGGATGAGGAATTATGACTGGAGCTGCTTTTTGTATTTTTACTATTGCTTGTTTTATTACTGCTTGTGGAGGAGTGTGTTGTAGAGGAGGAATTTGTATGTTTATGGCTAATTGGCAAAGAAATATTGAATTTTAAATTATTAGACTTTTCGCTGTTCTTGTGGGATTTTTCTTTTATCTTATCCTTAGTTGAACTCTTATGTAAGCGATTTTGGCTGGAGCTTGTTGTATTAGCTATAGGCTTAGTTGCTTGGCTATTGGTTTTTTCCTTTACTTTTTCTTTATGTTCCTGTATATCATTGTTTTGATGAGATTTTTCTTTGTTTTTAATTAAATCATATTTATCCTTGACAAATACTAATTCCTTATTATTGCTATTGTTGTTGTGATTGTTAGTATTAGTGGTTGTAGAGCTAGAGCTGCTATGACTGCTGCTGCTGGTTTTAGTTTTCTTTTTAACGATTGTTGCAGAACCCGCGGACTTTTCCTTGGTTTCGGTTTCTTTGCCAGATTTTACTGCTGACACTGTCGAAGTCTTTTCCTTAATGTCCTTGTTGTTGCTTGTACTATTGCCTTTGGCTTCCTTGATTTCATTAACATTAGCCATACTAGTTTTAAGGTTCGATGACTCCTTTAAGTTATTAACCGGACTATGAGAACGTTTAGATTTAGTGGGCGCTGCCACAGATGATTGATGCCACTGTAAAACAATAAAATAAAACATTTTAAATTAAGAATATAAAACCAAATATTTAAAAATGTGACCTTATATCTCAAGGCCTTTAAATATTCCTAGTAAAATATTTCAAAAAAGTTGCTCATTTATACTAACCTCTTTTTTCGTTATCGAATTTGATGATTGTGCTTGTTTAGAAGGTGATAGATGATGCTGTTGCAGTGGCTGCTGTTGCGACGCCAATGTCGTTCCATTATCTTTTTCCTTTTCCTTTTCTTTTTGCTTTTCCGTGAAAAGTTTAGCATTTGGTATATCCAAGAATTCTTCCATTTGTTCATTAACTTCTGTGGGCGTAGGCGGTGTGGGCGTGGGTGGTGGCCGTAATATTCTGGATTTGGGTATAGTTATTATTAGGGGATTTGGGGTGGCGGGTACATGGGCTGATAATTTGGAAGCTTTAAGCACAATTTTTGTACATCTTTCATTGTGATTTTTCGATTTACTGGATTTGGAGGATTTTTGCTTTTTACGCTTGGAACGTGAGATTTTGTCCTCATTGATAAGGGTGGTAGTGGAGGGTGAGGAGCCGCCGCCACCACCACCACCACCAGCACCCGCTACCACAATATTAGTGCCTGCTATTAAACCACCAGCGGCGCCCACTACTTCCAATTCATTAGAGCTTAGATTTTTATCTCGTTTGCAGGCTTCTTTTAAGAGTTTCTTAAATTTATCCTCCTTGGCCAGTGAGCCATTGGATTTAACACTAGTTTCTTCGAGTGTGTTATTGTTTATAACTTTAGTTTTACTATTATTGTGATCACTGGTGGATTCGGCACAAAATGTGGTGGTAGAGCTAAGGTTTTTTCTTTTATTTGCTGCGGCTTGTAGCTGTTGTTGCTGCTGCTGCTGCTGTTGTTGCAATTCATTGAAAAGTATCTCATCGTGTGTGGATACTTTACGCATTTTACGATTATTCGTTAAGCTGCTGGTGGTGGTGCTAGTGGTTGTGGGTGTCAGGGTTAAAGTACACATTTCGGGCGAATGATTTGTAGTGTCCACTTGATTATTTTGCAATAGTCCCGTAGTGGAAGAGGTGTGATCTTCTTGCTGTTTATTTTGAAAATTAATTTCATCGGGTTTTAGTTTTTGACTACCGTTCATGGATGAGCAGCTGCTGCCACCTCCTCCAACTTTGTCTTTGGCGTTTGAGGAGGAGGATTTTTCGCCGAAATTTTCACCATTTTGTTTACTTTTGGTGGGTGTTTGATAGAAGGTTTCTTGGGTAGAGGAAACTTCATGTTCTGAGGGTGATAACATAGATTTTTCTAAATTTCCCAAAGCTGTTGTGGTTGTAGAGGAAGAGGTGGTACTGGCCGTGGCGGTGGCCATAGCATTGTGATTGGCCGGTGATGAAGAGGTGTTTAAATACGAAGAAGAATCCACCACATTGGTGTTGGCATCACCACTACTTTGTATGGGTTCCGGAGTGGCCAAGTCACGGCTTTCATCATTAAACAAATAGACCGGTACAGTGGCCGTGGCCTCTATATTCATGTAGTCATCTCTTATAACAGTACCCGTGCCCATATGCGTGGGTCGGGCGCTTACAATCTCCTCCAAAATATGCTCATTAGCTGCCGGTATGGGTAGCAATTCTTCGGCAAACACATCATCTTCATTGTCTACCACAGCATCGGTATCATCCTCACCATTACATTCCGGCTGATTGCTAATATCATCTGTACTGGTATCATCAGCAGGTTCGGGTCTTGTCAAAGACTTTTTGGGTCTTTTCAATTTACGCCTCAAACTGCCAGTGGTTGTGGGGAGTATAAGCTCCGTATCTGCCACTGTATCGACATTATCATCATACTCGGGCAGTGTCTGATCCAAAGGAGAAGAGGTATAGATTCTAGCTGTGGTAATATCACTAGTAATCGTTGATATGGAGGGTGCCGCCAACGAAGACACCAATTGATCTTTACATTTAGAGGAGCTGATTTGAGAGCGTGCTTTATCCGTGCAGGATTTCTTGCAAGGCGGTGTACCCATTAGCGTAGAGGCGGGTGGTGGTCGCGGTGTCTCATCTTCTGCTATACATTTGTTCTTGATGGGACTGCGTTTCTTATTAAACTCAGCCGGAGGTGGGGTGCGTGTACTGTCATTGATGGTGTTGACAAAGATTTGTAGGGTTTCGGCAGCTCTTAAGGTATTATCGGGTAATTTTTTGTGTGATCGATTACTTTTCAAATAACAACCCATAGCTCCGCCCGCTGTATGTGCATTGTGATGTTTGCTTTTATGTTTAGTTGTGGGATAAGTGGTAGAGGAGGAGGAAGAGGTCGAGTCCCTTAGTTCTTCATTTAAGTTAGATAAATCAAAAGTAACCGTTTTCAACTGTTTGGTTTTAGTTTTCACTTGGCTTAAGTTTGATGCACTTAAAGCTGGTGCGACAACCAAAGCTGAGCTTTGTAATGGCAGCTGCTGTTGTGTAGCTGTAGCCAAGGAAGTTGTTGGCATGTTTGCAGGCTCATTTTCCAGTTTAGCTTTCTTGGCCGCCAAAGGCAGCTCTTCAGCAGCTGCTGTTGACTGCTCCTGCGGCTTAATCTCTTCCACCTCATTTGCACGTTTGTTGTTTGTGTTGTATTTTAAGCAGGGTTTTTTAACTAAGGGCGTTGTCGTTTCCGTTGACAACGACATCTTCGTATTATCACAGTTTTTCATTTCGTTAATATTTGCACTTTTGTCCACCACTTCCTCTGATTTTGTTAAGGGCATGGCCATCCAAGTTTCTTTCTTCGAACGCTTGCAATGTTCATCTATATTCAGTCGCTTAAGTCGTACACGACACTTTATATTGAAGGTTTGCTTTAAGGGAGAGGAGGATGATGACTTCGTTAAAGGAATTTCTAAGGGATATATTTCCTCTTTAGGGGTTTCTTTTGGTGGGTTCAAATCTTCATTATTTGCACTTGCCGGGGTTTCCTTAGCATTTTCCATGTTAACTTCTTTAGTTTGTTGTTGTGAATCCAAGGAAGTATTTGCCTTAGCCGGTTGCTGCTGCTCCTCTTTTTCTTGCTCTGCTGTTGCTGCTACATCCAAAGTTTGATCTTTTAACTCTGTGTTTTCCAGCTCCAACGATTTCTCTGCTGTAAACTCACTTTCTAATGGCGGAGTTGCTGTTATTTCCTCATTACTTGCACTTGCACTTTCACTTGCTTCGCTTGGCGTGGCTGTGCTATCAGCCGTTAATGCATTAAGTTCCTTGATAATTTTATCGCGTGTCTCTGATTCGGCATCGGTAACCGTTTTATTTAAGATTAAATCCAGAAATTTGGTAACATTATTATCCGCTTCTGGTTCTAACACAGCTTTAAGTGGTAGTGTTGTTGTGGCCTCATTTTCCAGGTCCGGTTGTAAGGGAAATTTCAAGGGAGTATTTAAATCGTTGTTGTGAGATTGTGGTATCTGTTGTTGTTGTGTTACGCCCATAAGTTTGGTGGGCGTATTTAAGGAAGTGTTTAGATTTTGAAAATTACTTTCCATTGTATCTAAATGAGTATCTCCTGGCAAGTTAGTTGTTGCTACATTGGGCATTTCCAAAGGTAAATCTGGCAAAGACATTACCGCCGCCATAGCGGCGGTGGTGGAGCTGTTGTTAAGATTAAAGTCTTTGGAGACATGTGATTCATTGGAATTATCCGACATGTCGGTGACCACCGGTGAGGGTTCTGCTATATCGGGTAAATGTTTAGAAATTTCCGATTCTAAAGAAATATCCGACAAATCTGCAGTCATGAGCGAGGGTACTTTGAGAGCTTGCGGTAACATATCCGCTTCGCTAGATATATTCGAGAGATCACCTGCAACTGCGTTTAGCAGTGAGGTTTCCGAGTTATTTAAAATTGTTGAAGATAAAAGTGTGGAGTTTGTTGCATCTTGTATCCGATCTTTGGTTTTCTTAAGTACAACATTGTCCTTTATTTCGGTTGTTTTCGACAGTAAATGCTGTGTTGTATCCTCGCTGTTATCTTTCTCTTGTTGTTCTTCGAAATGATTTAAAGATTTCACATTACTTATTAATATTGGAATTGTTGTTTCACTGAGAGACTGAGGTGCAGGAGAAGTAGGCGGTGTCTGTGCTCTTGCGGGAGTAGCAGGGCTTTCATTCAAGATATTTGCAGGACTAGTAACAGATTTTAAAACACTTATGGATTCTTCTAGAATCTTTTCTAAAGTTTCATCGATTTTTTTAGTGTTAACCGAGTCATCGCTTGGCATCGGAGCCGTTTGCTCATTGTTTTCAATTAAGGGAGTATTATTTTGTTGTTGTGGCAAAGTCATTGCCTTAGGACTAGAATTGTAATTAGCTGCTAAATTAAGTTTTGGCTCATGAGCATAGCTGGGTGGTGGGGAAGGAGTAGAAGTAGTTGCCGTTTGCTGCTGCTGCTCGTTAACATCCAATTGTGTTTGTGTTTTCTCCAAAAGATTGTCAAAAGTTGTGGGTAATATTATATGCTCCGTAACGGTAACCTTTTCTTTTGCTACCTCTGTAGCTGTCGGCTCTGTTAAGTTAGCGGGGGGTGGTGTTGGTGTTTTATTAGTTTCAGGTAAATCTAATTGATATGGTGATAAATGCTGCGCTATATCTGCTAAAAGATTAAGTTCTCTCATTTTTGTTGTTTGACCTTTGTCATTATTAATATCACAAGTTTTCTGTTTAATATCTTTTGCCTCAGGCTCTTCATTAGTTACTTTTGGCCTTTCCTCCTGTAACTTTTCTGTTTTCTTTTCCGGTTGCTCTAAATGGGCATCGATTTGACTAAGCAGAGAGTTAGTGGTAGCCTCTGTCATTTCAATTTGTATATTCAAGGGCTGCTGTAAATCTTTAACCGTTTGTTGCTTTTGTCTACGTGTTCGTACTTGGAAATTTGTTTCAAATTCCGATTCACTACTCATGAAAATCTCGGTATAACTTCTTGATTTTCTGCGCACCTTTTTGTCTCGATCTCTTTGTATTGCTACACTAGTGTCGCCTTTCTCTGTACCCTTTGTTTGTTCCGTATGCTCCTCTCTTCTTCCCACACGTCTACGTTCCTTTTCTCGTTGCTTTTCCAAAGCTCTAAGCTCCAGTTTTCGTCTTTGTTTAAGCAATATTTCATTGTACATTTGATCACGTTTGCGTTCGTATTGTATTAACTCCTTAGTGGGTGTTATAACCACAGCACAACGTTTATGCAATTTGGCATCATTTCTATAACGTTCATTATTGACAATATCAGAATCGGAGACGACACTATAAAACTCATCTGAGGACTCCTGATAACTGCTGCTAGGCATACCACCAAGTGGTCCGTTTGATTGATAGCCATCATTTAAACCCTCCCGATTTCGGATAATTGAAAAAAGTCCTTTGTTGTTGCTTTCCGTAGCCGCTTCCATGTTTTGCAATTCTTCTCTAGTACCCATGGTGGGTCGCCGTAGTGGTGGTTTTTTATTTTTGGGTAGTCGAGATTTTTTGCGTGTCGCCGAAGATGGTGTAGGCGGGTGTGATGCCAACGACATTGAGGAGGGTGAAAAAGGTCCGCTGCTATAGGGGTATGGTGCTCGTGCTCTATCGAATATGTTACGAAATAATGTTGCTGCTGCTGCTAAGTGCTCTATAAGTTTTAGTTTTTTTTTTTAGAGGGTGAAGTAAAATTGGAAGAGAAAATTTAAAAAAATATATTAGTTTTAGGTGAAAGTAAAAAACAATTCTGGGAGTTATAATTTATAAAAGGATATTTCAAGTTTCTATAACCCTCTTGCAAAGATTTTTTTATTTTTGAAAGTCTATTAAAAATTTATAGACTGGGCCCAAATTATGGCATACGATATCGATCGAAATCTCCATTTATATTCTATTGAGATTTCGATCGATATCGTATGCCGTAATTTGGCCCCTGATCTATATTCTTGACTACAGACTGATCTATAGTCTTGACTATAGACTGATCTATAGTCTTGACTATAGACTGATCTATAGTCTTGACTATAGACTGATCTATAGTCTTGACTATAGACTGTCTATAGACTAGAGACTGATCTAAAGTTTAGACTGGACTATATTTTAGACAAGAGACTGATCCATTTTTTTAGACTAGAGACTGATCTATATGTAATCTATAATTACATACAAGAAACTGATTTATAATCTAGACTTGAGAATGATCTATAGTTTAAACTAGAGTCAGATTGATCTAGATTAGATACTGATCTGTAGGCTAGACTAGAGACTGATCTGTAGGCTAGACTAGATACTGATCTATAGTATAGGCTATAGACGGGTCTATATTCTAGACTAGATACTGATCTATAATGTAGACTACAGACTGATCCATAGTCTGTACTAGAGAATAGATACTGATCTAGACTAGAGATGGATATATAGTCTAGACTAGACACCGAACTATAGTCTATACTAGAGAATGATCTATAGGCTAGACTAGAGACTGAACTACAGTATATACTGGAGAATGATCTATAGGCTAGACTAGAGAAAAATCTATAGCTTTGACTAGAGACTGATCTGTAGGCTGATATATTGTCTAGCCTAGAGACTGATCTCTATTCTAGACTAACTAGAGACTCACTTATAGTCTTGACTAGAGGTTAATATGTATTCTACACTAAGAACTGATCTATAGTCAAGAGATTGATCTAGATTAGAGACTGATCTGTAGGCAAGAGATCTATAGTTTAGTTTAGAGACTGAGACTAGAGACGGATCTATTGTCTAGACTAAAAACTGATATATTGTCTAGACTTTAGAATGATCTATAGTGTAGACTAGAGAATAATCTATAGCCTAGACTAGAGACTGATCTATGGTCTAGACTAGAGACTGATCTATTGTCTAGACTAGAGACTGATTTATTATCTAGACTTGAGAATGATCTATAGTTTAAAGTAGAGACTGATCTATATCCAAGACTACAGATTGATCTAGACTAGAGACAGATCTATAGTCTACACTAGAGACTGATCTATAATGTAGCGAAGGCCCACCTTGAATGATAAATTTTGGGAACTTGGTTTTAATTTTGCAAAATATAGCATTTTTGCTAGATCTAGAGAATAGTAGATTTCATGTACATATATGTATTTGCAAGTGTTAGTTTGCATTCAACAGTCTTCTATTAAAATTGCTACATTTGGAAGGGTGGCATTTTATTTTGTGGGGTTTAAGTCAAAAGTCTATATAACAATAGACAATTCTTAGCAAAATCAAATGTATATAATTATTTTTTTTTATTTACTGTCTAGCCATTCCCAAAAAAATCTTTTTTTATATGAAAAAGAAAATTTGTAATGGATGAATGTGCTACAAAAAGAAATTAATTAAGAAACAGCAGTTGTTAAATTTTTCATTATCATACCATCATTGTGTTATTAAAAAAAAAAAATAAAATGACTTTTGTTTGGATTCATAAACTTTACAAGCTAACCATTTATTGGTTCGTTCATGTTAAATTTTTCTTTAAAACAATTGCAAAAGTTTCTTAAGAGCTGTTTATTTTGAAAAGACTTGGCTGGCACTTCTTTTTTGGTTCATAATACAATATGATTTGATTAACAAGTAATAACAAAAATATATATATACAAAAAACAGCAATTGAAATGATAAATTATTGAAACAAAAAAAAATATGAAACTCTTTTGGGGGGTGAGTTAGAGGAAAGTAAACAAAAAAAATAATAAAAAGCAAGACGAACTCATTTACGACTTTTAAATAAAAATGTTAGTTAGGGTAAGTTAATGGGAGCAGACGTTGGGGTAAAGAAGGAATGTTTAGGTGAAGGCTGGTAGTATTATTAGTAGTTGCTAGAGTGTTTAGTTTTGAATATTATTTCTACTCACTGCCAAATTGATTTTATTTTTAAAAACGAATTATTTAATTAACTATAGTTAATAACTTATTTCTTTTAAAAAAGATATTTCATGAACCAATTATTATGATATTTTCTTTTTATAATTAAACAAAGTCTAGGTTAGTGATAGAAAAAAATGTTTAAACTTAAGAACTATTTTAGAAAAAAAAAAAACATAAAACGAATCCTTTTTCTTGTTGTTGTAAAATGTTATGGAACCAAACAAAAGTATTTTAATTATAATAATAAAATAGTAATAAATAGTTATTTAAAAAACGGGGACCTTTTTTCAATAACAACAAACTTAATATATAGAAAATTATAAAAATTTAATAGATTTTTTGAATTAATCTATTAAATTTGTTTTGTTTTTAACTGTTCAAGTTGTTTTTAATATTTACCAATTATTTGTAGAAGAATTTTTTTTAAGGTTTAGATTGGTTCCACATGATTAAAGTTGAGTTGATTTTGTGGTTTAAGACTTAAAATTAACTTATATTACAAAATATCTTAATAATATATGAAAAGAGCTTAAATTATGTTTAAGATTTAAGAAAAATAAAGTTTTTTTTACGATTTTAACGAAATATTTTAAGAATATTTTTAAAGTTTTGTCAGTTTTTAAATAATTTTTAAAATTTTCAAAAAACTAAATAAATGTTCAAATGATTTTATTTTTTGTTTCACATAAAATAGAAAAACATAGACTAGATTGTTTTTTTTTTAAGAAAAATGTTGATTGTTGCGGATTTTTCAAAACCGTGCTCTCAGCCTCCTTCTTGAGGGAAATAAAGTTGTATGTAGAAAAGGAATTTCGAATTGAAAGACTAGAGATTGATCTAGAGTATAGTTTAAACAGTGATCCATAGTCAAAACTAAATACTGATCTATAGTCAAGATTAGAGACTTATCTATGGACTAGACTACAGACGGATCTATACTATAGATCAGAGACTGATCGAGAAGCTAGAATCTATAGTCTAGACTAGAGACAGTTCTACATTTTAGAGTAGAGACTGATCTATAGTGTAGACTAGAGACAGATCTACAGTTTAGAGTAGAGACTGATATATAATCTAGACTAGAGACTGATCTATAGTCTACACTAGATACTGATCTATAGTCCGGTATAGACTTATCTATAGTTTAGTCTATAGACCAATCTATAATTTTAACTATAGGCTGATGTATATAGTATAGGCCAGAGACTTATCTATAGTCCACACTAGATACTGATCTATAGTCTATACTAGAGTATGATCTTAACTATAGATCAGATACTGATCAAAAGTCTAGACTGAAATAAAGTCTTGACAAGAGACTGATCTATAGTCTATACTAGAGACTGATCTGTAGTCTAAACTATAAACCGATCTCTAGTTTAGAATAGAAACTTATATATAGTTTAGACTAGAGACTGATCTATAGCCTAGACTAGAGATTTATCTATAATAGGAGATCGGTCTATAGTGTCGACAAGAGAAACTGATCTAAAGCCTTATCTATAGTTTAGACTAGAGAGCGATCTGTAAAAACACTGATTTAAAGCCTATACTAGAGAACAATCTATAGTCTAGTTTAGAAACTGATCTATAAACTATTCAAATTCCAAAATTCCCAAATGGTATGTTGATTGTTGCTCATCTATTTTGGTATGTTGATTGTTGAATTGTTGCTCATCTGGTATAGGTATGTTGATTGTTGTATTATTACTCATCTGTTTAGGGAATGTTGATTGTTGAAATGTTGCTCATCTATTTTGGTATGTTGATTGTTGAATTGTTGCTCATCTTTTTATGGGTATGTTGATTGCTGAATTGAAATTTCTGTACTTCCGAAATTGTATATAGTATGTTGATTGTTGTTGTTCATCTTTTGGGTATGTTGATTGGTGTTCTATATTTTCAATTGGTATGTTGATTGTTGGCAGATCTGTTCTTTCATTTGCATATATTGCTTGTTGTTCTTTTGTTTTTTCAAATTTCAAAATGTTGATTGCTGATTGTTGTATTTTTGTTTAAACAAATTTTCTATAAACTAAATTCCTTAAACTTAACACCAGCCTCCTTAAAAAAGGGTAGTTTCAGAGGGGACGTGAGAGTTTTGTTTAATAGACAGCGAGCAAAAGTTTTGGGATTTACATTTTTAAAATTTTTGTATTTCGAATTTTTCTTAATTTATTATAAAAAAAGTATACCAATAAAGTAAGGTAGTAGGTAGAGATATAATGCATGAAGCCCAAGTCCTTTTTAAAAGTGTGGTTCATAACATTTTATAACAAACTTTTGCAATTATTTTTGAAATATTTACAAAAAGAAAGGTAATTTTTATAGCTAATTTCCCTTAAGCATTTAAATGTTTTAAAACAAATTCTTAAACACATTTAAACACTTAAAAAAAATTATGCAAAATTTAAAAAAAAAAATAGCTTAGAACATGCATATGTTATTATTTTAAACAGAAATTAAAAAAATTAACATAAAAAAATAATAAAAAATTACAAAAATTATAAGGATTTAAAAAGGAAATATAGTATGCATGCCTTTAAAAAAAAAAAACCTAATTTTTATACATTTTTTTTTATATAGAAGAAATTTTTATTAAACCACATACACACATTTAATACACTAATATTTATAAATAATATTTAAATCGTTACAAAGAATTCTAATCGCTACAAAAAATAATTAAACATTTATTGAAATAATTAACTTCAAATTTTAGTTAAATGCAAATTTGTAAAATTAAACTTCTTTATTCCTCTCCTCTCAAACTTGTTTTTACTTTCAAATTTACTCGTTACGCACTGAGAAATGTTTAGGGTAATCAGGAATGTTGTAAACACAATATTCAAATCAAATTCCCTTTATAAGTTTTATCAAATTGTAGTATATTTACAAGAGTAGCAAATATACTACAACACATTATGTAAGTTAGAAACCGTGCCAGTTGAAGAAATATCAATTTTCAAATCAAATCTTTTTTTAAGTTTTAGCACAAGTTCTAACACCAGTGTAGTATATTTGCAAGAGTTGCAAAAATACCACCACTTATTTTGTGACTTAACTGAGTTATCATCTAGAGACAGTAATATAGAGTATATTTAAAAAAAAGTAAGAATTAAGCATTGCTTCCTTTCTGCAAGCTTAAAGTCTTGCTTATTTACAAGACTTTTATCGAAAATCAAATTTAATGGCATTACTCGATAAAGAACTTTTCATTTACTTTTTTAGTTGTCAATATGAACTGAACTGCACTCAGCTGATCTCTGTTGATACTATGAAGCTTGCAGTTTGGTATATTTACAAGATACATTTTACACTTGAAACTATTACACATTTTGTGTTTGCAAATCTTTTTAATTTTCTATTTAATTCTTAGAAATTACTGTACTTTTCTTAAAGATTTGGTGTCTCAGCTCAATATAAATACGTTGAAGTTTTGGGTCTTGCATATTTACAAGACCCTCTATTGTAAATCAGAGTATCATACATTTAGTGCTAGAGATCATTCCAAATTCTTTGAAATTTCCAAGAAATTGAGGACAAGTTTAGTTCTGATAATATATGTGTTAAAAGCTGAGGTCTTGCATATTTACAAGTCTTGTATTGTTTCCAATTCTCATATTTTATGATGGAAATTTTTACATTTTTCAAATTAATTTTTCAGAAATTTGATTTTTTTTTAGGAAATTGTCCAAGAGTTGAGTTTTGATGGTATATTTGATATCTTTTAGTTCTTGCAAATTTACAAGGTCTGACATTTGGTGTTTGAAATTTTTGCTAATTTTCTATTTATTTTTTAGAAATTCTTTATTTTTTCATAAATTTTAGTCCCGAGCTCAATCTCGATTATATTTTCAGGTCTTGCATATTTACAAGATACTATATTGCAAACCAGAGTATCGCACAGTTATTGTCTTAGGTCTTCCTATTTTTTTTTTTTTAATTTCTGAAAAATTATTTAAATCAAATTTCGGTCTAGTTTATATTATAAAGTTTTAAGTCTTGCATATTTACAAGATCTGCAATGTAAATCAATAGTTAAAGAGAGATCTCTAAGTTTAAAGTTTTCCACAACCCGAAAATGAGTACAATTTGTCATAACATTAAGTTCTGCAAATTAGATCAAGTTTTGTAAATAGAGTCGAACTGTAGTACTTTTACAAGACTTGCTACATTTGCTAGATTCATAAAAGAGTGCATTTGTTTGATTCTTTTTTATGTCCTTGAGCTGGATTTAGTGGACTTATGTTGGATAGATTAGAATGTTTTTATATTGCAAACATTTTATATAGGAAGCTTATAAGTAGTTCCTAGACTTAGTTGCCTTAGTTCTAAAGATTTTGGTTTGGAAAAATATTGAGATCTATTATAATTTTGCTTTTTGCCCAAAGGTTTTCTAAAGTAGTTCTCGATTTTTAAACAATTCTCCTGTGAATCTATTGAAAATTATTATTAACAGTGGCATTTATACGTTTGACAGCTTCTCGTGCTGCAGTGCGTTGCCTAAAGTAGGCATGATCTATAGTGGTGGTGGTTGTGCTGGTGGTAGTGTTTGTATTGTTTAAATCATTATTATTCTGTTGACGTCTTGTTACCCGGGCAGAGGTTTGTTTTGCTTTCTTCTGCTTGGATGTTGTAGGACTTGAGGCTTCACAACTAGAATCGCTATTACACAAGGATGCTGTAGAAGAAGCAGACGATGTAGTTTCTGTTGTAAGTAAATTCTTTTTAGGTCTACCACGACGTTTGATATTTGAGTTGGTGTTGGCGTCTTTTTTGAGTTCACCTTGTTGTTTTTCCATTAGCTTTGTTTGGACATTATGTTTGAGTAAGGAAAATTCCATCATTTTACGTTTTAAATCTTCTGCTAACCTATCATTTCTTTCCTGACATTTGCGTTTAACACTATTCAGGCGTTGAGGATCCTGTTGCAATTGCTCCTGCTGCTGAGTATGGTTTTTCTGCAATTGCTGTGGCAAATGTTGTGACAATTTATGCTTTTGCACTATCTCATCTCTAGTGCCTACAAAATTAACATATTCCTTAGCAAAACCAGGTAGTGTAGGAGATGAGGAAATTGTTGCCGATGTCTTTGCTTGTTGCGCATTATCATATTCGGTTTGGGTTTGTTCGAGGAATGATTGTACCACTTGTAATGCACCCGAATCTCTATGAGGCATTGTGGTCTGATGAGGATTTCTTATTAAAGAGGGCAATACACTGCCACTACTACTGGGTAATTGATGTAAACCCGGCATATGATTCTGTTGAGGATTACGTATTAAAGGAGGCAATAAACTATTAAATTGAGACGATTGATTTAAACTATTGCTGTTGTTATTTTTCTCTGCTATATTGCTATGGGAATTAGAAACTTCTTCGAAAACTTGCAATAAATGTTTAGAGGTCTTTTCATGATCCTTAATCAAATAGGTTATATAGGGTTGTAAAATTTCTTTATAATTTGATTCAGAATTTTTGTTAGCAGTTTGTTGTTGAGTTGTTGCCGCTGTAGTTGCAGCATTAAATGAGTTGTTATATCTAGTATTCATACGTTGTTGTTGTGGTGCTAGGGGATTGTTTGTATTTCTATTATTATTATAGATATTTATGGGTAAATTGTGTCCTAAATTTTGTGGTGTTATATTACGTTGCGCTGAAAAATTGGAACTGGGACTGGTGGTAACATTTAAATGTTGATTGGTTACTGTTAAAGATGTTGGCTGTTGTTGCTGATTTTGTTGCAAGCGATAAGGATTTTGTAAATTGATTTCTTGATTCCCAAAAGTATTGATAACGTTGTTGCGGGAAAAATTATTTTGCATTAGATTAGCAGTTGCATTATTATTAGATAAACAAGGCCGCTTAGCATAGAATTGCTGAGTAGAAGAGGAGGAGGGTTCCTCATCACCTATTGCTCTAAGGTGTTGCTGCTGCTGCTGCTGCTGTATTTGATGTTGTTGCCTGGTATTATATTTGTGTAGAGCACCATTATCGTTAGCCGATTCATCGGTTATGGAAATGAAAATATTCTGTTGATCTTGGAAATTTTGTGGCATTTCGTGTAGCTGCACACCATTGGTATTAACAATAACTTCATTTTGAGGACTGGTAGCACAAGGAGGATTGATATAAAGCTGATCATTGTTTAACTCATCCCAGGAGGAGTTGCGTTTATCTTGAACTTGTTGCTGTTGTTGTTCAACTTCTGTCAGTCTTTGGGGACTGTTAGTGTTATTATTATTGTTTTGTTCAACAACCTGTCCTGTGTTTGTTACAGATGAAATTAAATTATTCCAATTTTGATTGGCGTTCACTACAGGCTCCTGGTTTAAGGATATTTCATTTTGTGGTGCATTATTAGAGTAATTTGTGGGTTGAAAATCTTGCACTGCATCCATATTGTGTGTGACATTGAAATTTGTATTTAAAGCCTCATTATTGGTGGCAATACGAAAATATGAGGCAGAAGGCAAAGGTTGTGAAATGTTATGACCACTGTTGGTGGCTTCGGATATGCTTCTAGAATATAATTGCATACGTTGTTGCAAAGAATTGGCTGCTTTAGAGTTGTTTTTGAATTTCGAGGTATAAGAGGTTTGTATGAGGAAAGTAAGCGCTATATTAATGCGCTGGCGTACATCACTTACTTTATACTGTTGCTGTAAAATGGACAGAACAAAAGATAACTTAAGCAATTGCTTGGCGGTGGAAGGTGGCAAAGCAATCCATTCATTGTCATTATCATTGAAAATGGATATGGTATCTCCTGCACTTTTCTTCCAATACAAAGGTTTGGTGACCGATGTATTGCCCTTAGCATTGGCTATATTGTAATGTTCTAATATGGCTATACGTTCCATTTCGTAAGCTTGACCTTCGGCATAATAACCACAAGCATTGGCATTGTCTATAATGGTCATGACATCGGGTGAAGCTAAAAGATCTTCAATGAAACGATTGAGATCCATTAACTTCTCCACATTAGCTACACTTAACATAGGAGTGGCGGGATAAGATTCCGGCAAAGGTTGTGTTGTTTGGGTCTGCATACGTGTTACTGTTGGCAGTTGTTGAGAGTCCATTGGCCGATTTTCGGGCGCTAGACAAGGTTGAGGGTTATCTTTTAGTTGTGGTGCCACTATTTGTATAGGAGGCTGTCCTACGGCTCTTACCGGCATATGAACACGTCTTTTGAAAGGTGAGGAAGGATCGGTTAATTTTCTTAAACAATTAGCACTTGTAGATGGTTTATTATCATCATAATCGGGGGCAGTTAAACTAAATGTTGCTTCGCTGGAGTGATTTTCGTTTTCAACAGTTTTGTTATCTTCTTGCTGCAGCTCTTGCTCTAAGTTTTCCTTTATTTCAGGCGGGTTAACCTCTATTAATGTTTCCTTGTCTTTATCTGTGTCTTCTATAACTACTTCGGCTGCTATTTCTTGTGGCTGTTCATATGTTGTAGCCAAAGTAAGTTGAGTATCCTCTGTTTCCTCATTGTGTTCAGCTTGTGTGGGTCTCTTTTTCAAGGGCAAAGAACAGGCTGAATTGGAGTCATGGTTAAATTTTTCAATTTCCATGTTATCAGCTTCCTCCTCTTCTTCCTCCTCATCGTCCTCTTCTTCTTCTTCGTCATCTTTCTCCTCAACTTCCTCCTCTTCGTCCTCATTAAAGGTTTCAGCATTATCATTACTTTCCTCCAGGTTTTTAACAATTTCCTGCGTTTCCAAACTTGTGCTTACAACTTTCTCTTCATTTTTGGTTTCTGCTTCCAAGTCTTGTTGTGTCGATTTTGATTTCTTGGATTTATTATTTCCCTCTTTCATTTGTTTTTCATTTTCACGATTTGATATTTTGAAATAGGTTTTATTATTTGGTGTAGTACATATCGATATAGATATAATGGGGATTTTTGGAAAGGAAAATATAGCTGAAACTCCTTGGCTATCAGAGTCATTAGTTTTGGTTTCATTTTCCATGTCCCCCTTATTCCAATTGCCCAATTCTAAGGTCATGTGCTGATTTTCATTTAAAGAAGCTTCTACTTGTTGAGTTCTCGTTTCCTCTTCTTTCGGGGAATGCTCCTGTGACAATGGTTCAGTGTTAGTTTCTAGATTTTCATTTGGGGTATTTTCATTGTTAGATTTTTCTTCTGTATCTTCTTCTTTAACGTTTTCAGATTTTGGGAAGTTGGGACATTTTTCTTGAACTTTCGTGGACTTGTTAGATCTTTTCAATTTCTTCTCTTTAGTTAGCTCTGGGTGGCTGGAATTATTCTTATGTTTCTTAAGAGTTTTTGAAGATGTTAACTTTAACTCATTGATACTATTGCTGGTGGTTATGTTGGAATCTTTGTTATCTTTGCTATTGATTTTAGTTTCCTTAACTTCAATTTTTGTATCTTCTTCCATGTGTTCGGACTCTTCGATATTACTGGAAGCTGTTACATTCTCTTTAGAAGAGTTTGAACTATCTTCATCTGTCTCCTTACATTTAGTTTTCTTGGTTTCAATTAACAATTCGTCTTCGTGTTCTTCATCTTTTTCTCTTAATCTTTTAAGTGGTTGCTTGTCCATATCCGCCTCCTTAACATCCTGTTTAACAGAGTTTCCAATTGATTCGTTGCTGTCGAGTGCTTTTTTATTTAAAGCATTATCCACTATATCTTCAGTTTTATTATTAAAATCCTCTAAAAGTTTAGCAGCTTCACAAGCTTCTGCGTCCAACTGTGTTAACGGCATGCTTGCTGGCTGTTCCGAGGTATTCTCTGTCATAACATCTAAATCAATATGACACATGGAAATGGGCGTAGAGCAATTATTTTCAAACTCAAAATCATTATCATTCTTTGAATCGCCGTGTCCTGTTTCCTCTTCTCCGGCCGTTTCACTTAAAGCATGAGGTAAAGGTTCATTTTGTAAACCAGCCAAAAATTCCGCACAAAAATTGGTCACCAGTTTGGCAGTTTCTGTTCTATCCTCTTCTTCGGAGGTTTCTGTGGATTCCATGGCGGTACTCTGTTGCTCTTCATTAAGAATTTTTGATTCCTGTGTTGCCGTTGTATCGTTAGTGTCACCATCTTTCGTTATTGTTTCACTGATAGGTTTTTCTTCGGCTTCCATACTACTAGTTTGCAAATTGTCTTCTGTTTCCTGTTCAGTTTCCTTCGGCTGTTCTTCTGCCGTATCTTTCACAACATCTTCCTCTTGTTCTGCTTTTGAATTTGAAGTATTTTTATCCTCGTCCAGATTTAAAGTTGCTTCTTTGGTTTCTAAGCTTTCGTTTACATTTTCTGTATTATTTTGTTGCTCTCTAATCTCTTTTTCCTCCAATATAATAGGATTTAGTTCATCACATGCGGCATTATCCTCTGACAAATTGGTGTTGCTTTCATCCACCAATTGTTTATTTGGTTTTGTTATATTTTCATCAACTAAAATTTCTTTTGCTTCTGAATCCTTTGGAGTAACACTTTCCTTTTCTTTATCCAAACTTTCCTTAGACAATTCCTGGGAAATTAGCAAATCATTGGTCCCTTTCAGCTCTTTAGACTTTTCAGTTTTATCACATGTTAGACTATTGATTTTCTCCGTAAGTAATTTACTTATTTTAGACAAATCATCCATTTCAACATCATCTTCCGTTGAAGCCAATTGTGTTTTGTTATCATTAACATTTTCAACCGCTAAAGGTTTTTCTAAAGCCCTATTATCGTCGACATTTTCTTGCTTTATGCAAACCTTCAATACATCATTTACTAACTGTGGAGTTTCACTCTTTTTTACTTCTCTAGGCTTAACATTATAAGGATGTTGTTGTTGTTGTTGCCTCCTTAGAGAAACAACTTTATGTATCCTTAAGGGTTTGGGTGATGATTTTAACACTTTTTTGGTTACCGGCAAAGGTTTCTTAAAAATCATATCATCATCACTTTGTTTAGTGATTGTGGAAATAGGATTACATTTCAATTGACAAGTCTCAGTGCGTTTATAAGTGGTAAAGTTATCATTATTCTTAGTATTACTTATAATTAGTGTTGTGCTTTGTTGTGTGTGTGGTGGGTGTAATTGTTCCTTACTAAAGTTACTTTTAAAATTGGTTAATGAAATATCGTTATTAAATCTAAGTTTTTTCAAATTTATCTTAACATTTTTTATGGTTTTCTGTTTTAAATTCATATTCAATGATTTTTGATTAAAAACTGACAAATTTTTATCGAAATTTGAACACTTATTATTGTGATCTTTTACGTTATTAGTTGTATATTTTAAAATTTCTTGTTTATTTATACATTTTTGATTTGTTGATTCTGCAGTTTTGTTTGAGTAGAAACAATTATATTAGAAACTTTTGATTGGTTTTGTTTTTGTTATTAAAATATTGTTGCACCCTCTACGTTGGGTGTCTTTTGTTAAAGCTTTTTCTTTGTGTTTTGTATTATTATTATTATAAAAAAGGGATATCAAAGTAAAGAAATATAAATAAAATCCTACCTTGCTGTTCCTGATGTTTTATAGATGAAGACGTTGAATTGGATGTGGAGGAGCCGGCTACGCTGCCGGCATATGAAGAACAATCAAAGTCACGTAAATGAAAATATTCTGAAGCATCGGAGGCTTTGTATTTTTGTTGCTGTATAGCTGGTTTGAGAGGCATTTTATGTGTGGAACTAGGAACGGTGGGTCCTAAGGGACTGGTATTGAATTGTACTCGCTTCTTTTGTTTTTTTGGGAGTCTGTAAAATTAATGGAACAAACATTTTCATTAGAATAGAGCTATAGAGAACTAGATTTGATGTAAAACTAGAACTGAACTAGAACTGAACTAGAACTGAACTAGAACTGAACTAGAACTGAACTAAACTGAACTAGAACTGAACTAGAACTGAACTAGAACTGAACTAGAACTGAACTAGAACTGAACTAGAACTGAACTAGAACTGAACTAGAACTGAACTAGAACTGAACTAGAACTAACGAACTGAACTAGAACTGAACTAGAACTGAACTAGAACTGAACTAGAACTGAACTAGAACTGAACTAGAACTGAACTAGAACTGAACTAGAACTGAACTAGAACTGAACTAGAACTGAACTAGAACTGAACTAGAACTGAACTAGAACTGAACTAGAACTGAACTAGAACTGAACTAAAACTGAACTAGAACTGAACTAAAACTGAACTAGAACTGAACTAGAACTGAACTAGAACTGAACTAGAACTGAACTAGAACTGAACTAGAACTGAACTAGAACTGAACTAGAACTGAACTAGAACTGAACTAGAACTGAACTAGAACTGAACTAGAACTGAACTAGAACTGAACTAGAACTGAACTAGAACTGAACTAGAACTGAACTAGAACTGAACTAGAAAAACTAGAACTGAACTAGAACTGAACTAGAACTGAACTAGAACTGAACTAGAACTGAACTAGAACTGAACTAGAACTGAACTAGAACTGAACTAGAACTGAACTAGAACTGAACTAGAACTGAACTAGAACTGAACTAGAACTGAACTAGAACTGAACTAGAACTGAACTAGAACTGAACTAAAACTGAACTAGAACTGAACTAGAACTGAACTAGAACTGAACTAGAACTGAACTAGAACTGAACTAGAACTGAACTAGAAGTGAACTAGAACTGAACTAGAACTGAACTAGAACTGAACTAGAACTGAACTAGAACTGAACTAGAACTGAACTAGAACTGAACTAGAACTGAACTAGAACTGAACTAGAACTGAACTAGAACTGAACTAGAACTGAACTAGAACTGAACTAGAACTGAACTAGAACTGAACTAGAACTGAACTAGAACTGAACTAGAACTGAACTAGAACTGAACTAGAACTGAACTAGAACTGAACTAGAACTGAACTAGAACTGAACTAGAACTGAACTAGAACTGAACTAGAACTGAACTAGAACTGAACTAGAACTGAACTAGAACTGAACTAGAACTGAACTAGAACTGAACTAGAACTGAACTAGAACTGAACTAGAACTGAACTAGAACTGAACTAGAACTGAACTAGAACTGAACTAGAACTGAACTAGAACTGAACTAGAACTGAACTAGAACTGAACTAGAACTGAACTAGAACTGAACTAGAACTGAACTAGAACTGAACTAGAACTGAACTAGAACTGAACTAGAACTAGAACTGAACTAGAACTGAACTAGAACTGAACTAGAACTGAACTAGAACAGAACTGAACTAGAACTGAACTAGAACTGAACTAGAACTGAACTAGAACTGAACTAGAACTGAACTAGAACTGAACTAGAACTGAACTAGAACTGAACTAGAACTGAACTAGAACTGAACTAGAACTGAACTAGAACTGAACTAGAACTGAACTAGAACTGAACTAGAACTGAACTAGAACTGAACTAGAACTGAACTAGAACTGAATTAGAACTGAACTAGAATTAAACTAGACCTGAATGACAATAGATTTAACTTTATTTACCTTTGCTTCCGAACTATCGGAATAATAATGTTTATCCTGTTGATGCTGTTGATAACGTGTTAGAGCTTGGGAAAATACTACTTTATCATTAGCTTGCATATTATTATAAGTGGGATAAGGTCCCATTGGTCGTATTTGCTTGGCAAATATTTCCTTTTCCGATTTCTTACTTGGGCTAGGCAAAAATGTATAGGCATTAGCTTCATCTTCCTCATCGACCTCCTCATTGAGTAGGGCATCATCATGTTCATCTTGGACATCAGTACCTTCATCCTCGTCATTTTCCTCTTGTCCTTCGGGCGGTGAAGAGGATATATGAATACTATCTCTTCTGTAAGCCTTATTTATGTCCGTTCTTGGCTGATATGGTTCTTGATTATCACTGTTTGTATTGTTTTTATCTTCTGTTTCCGTTAGATTGCTCTTTTTGGCCTGATAAGTGCGCAAATTTCCGCTTAAAAATCTAGCAGATATTTTTGTTACATCATCCTCATCATCAGCCTCCAAAGACTCTAAATCGGTGTCACAATGTATGGGTGTTGTGGTGAGAGGATAACTATCCACAAATAAATCTTCACAGGGTTTATGTTGTTTAGCTGGTTTAGAGGATTCCGATGCCGCTGGTGTTGACGCTGTGGCGGCTGCTGTAGTTGTTTCCTTACTTACAACAGCAGAGGAGATCTCTTCCTCACTTTCGGAATCACTGTCCAAACAAATGACAGCTTCTTTTTCACGATTTGAGATCAATTGATTATTTAATTGTTGTTTCTCCAATAGTAATTGTGCTTCACGATATTGTTTAGCCAATTGTTGGAAATCATTTAACCATTTGTCGTGACGTTCTATAATGCTACTTTGAGCATTTGTCGTTTCCTCTTCCTCCATGGTCAAATCAACAGTGCCAATAACAGTTTTCTCTTCGAGTTTAATGTTCGACATACTACCATTTAATGGTTCCAACTGTGCGGTGGCAAAAATTTGGGCAAAATCGCTGGCAGGTGGAGTGGCATCTACTACAATTACATCGTCATCTTCATCGTCATCACAGAGATTCTATGGGATTGGGCAAATAATTTATATTAAAAAAATATTTCTAATTTTCTTTTTAAATTTTTGAGAATTGTTCTGTTTCAGCTTAAAAATTATTATCTTTTTAGTTGTGGATACTTTGCAAATTTTTTACTTAACACACATTTCCAAAGCTTTTAACTGGGCTCTGGGATTGTGCAGTAAAAATATAAGAATTTCTCTACAACTATCAGACCTTTTACTAGATCATCATTTTTAATGGAAGATAGAGCGATAAATTTTAAAGAACATATCTTATACAGGTCCAGAACTGAACTAGAACTGAACTAGAACTGAACTAGAACCGAACTAGAAGTGAACTAGAACTGAACTAGAACTGAACTAGAACTGAAATAGAACTGAAATAGAACTGAACTAGAACTGAACTAGAACTGAACTAGAACTGAACTAGAACTGAACTAGAACTGAACTAGAACTGAACTAGAACTGAACTAGAACTGAACTAGAACTGAACTAGAACTGAACTAGAACTGAACTAGAACTGAACCAGACTGAACCTAGAACTGAACTAGAACTGAACTAGAACTGAACTAGAACTGAACTAGAACTGAACTAGAACTGAACTAGAACTGAACTAGAACTGAACTAGAACTGAACTAGAACTGAACTAGAACTGAACTAGAACTGAACTAGAACTGAACTAGAACTGAACTAGAACTGAACTAGAACTGAACTAGAACTGAACTAGAACTGAACTAGAACTGAACTAGAACTGAACTAGAACTGAACTAGAACTGAACTAGAACTGAACTAGAACTGAACTAGAACTGAACTAGAACTGAACTAGAACTGAACTAGAACTGAACTAGAACTGAACTAGAACTGAACTAGAACTGAACTAGAACTGAACTAGAACTGAACTAGAAACTGAACTAGAACTGAACTAGAACTGAACTAGAACTGAACTAGAACTGAACTGAACTAGAACTAGAACTGAACTAGAACTGAACTAGAACTGAACTAGAACTGAACTAGAACTGAACTAGAACTGAACTAGAACTGAACTAGAACTGAACTAGAACTGAACTAGAACTGAACTAGAACTGAACTAGAACTAGAACTGAACTAGAACTGAACTAGAACTGAACTAGAACTGAACTAGAACTGAACTAGAACTGAACTAGAACTGAACTAGAACTGAACTAGAACTGAACTAGAACTGAACTAGAACTGAACTAGAACTGAACTAGAACTGAACTAGAACTGAACTAGAACTGAACTAGAACTGAACTAGAACTGAACTAGAACTGAACTAGAACTGAACTAGAACTGAACTAGAACTGAACTAGAACTGAACTAGAACTGAACTAGAACTGAACTAGAACTGAACTAGAACTGAACTAGAACTGAACTAGAACTGAACTAGAACTGAACTAGAACTGAACCAGAACTGAACTAGAATTAAACTAGAACTGAAAACCTGATCCTATTTAAAACTTACCACTACAGATCCAATGGTTTTAAGAGCATTGTCTATTATAGAAGCCTAAAAACAAAAAAAGAAAATTATTCATTAACAGAACTCAAAGTTAAGCAAACATTTTTACTCACATTACGTATATCACGATAAAATTTTAAATTATTTAAAATCGTACGAGTAGCCGTACTATGCGTAGTATACATGGGCAAATAAGAGCCATACAAGTTATTGGAGCAGAGAGAAACCGAAGGTTTCATAAAACTTTCGGCAAAGTTGACAATCAGCAATTTATCGTCATCATCTTTTTGCATCATCATCCAACGATAGAAGACAATTATATATAACATATACAATTTATCGGGCAAGACATTGACTTCCGAAACTGGTTTAATGGGTATAAATTCACTGGAAATTTTATAACAAGTTAACATTTTTATAAGTTTTTCTTTGTATAAGTATACGAATAGGAAATATTTACCCAAATATTGCACACATTATATCCCGGGCATTGTATAATTTGGGTATATAAACTAAAGTACGTAAAATATTGTAGAGAGTGGCATCCTAAAATTTGAGTTTTATGTTTACAATTATTAGAATAGAAAAATATATTAGCATTTAGTTGTTAGAATACAAACCTCTTCCTCTTGTACCAGGTGTCTGCGCATTATGTAAATAATACGATGCGCTATTGCAAGTTGTTCTTGGGGGGTGTTGGCGGCATCCACACTTAGCCTAAGCTCACAGACTATAAATATGGACATAATCTCACACACTCTGTAATGATATTCTTCCAGCTGGAAAGAAACACACACACACACAAATTGAAATTATTTTTAGATATTTTTTTGGGATAATTTATTAATATTAAATTTAAATGTTTTGATTTCTAAAAAAAAAATTGTTTGAATATAACTTTAACTTACATCTGATAAACATGTACTCAACTGCTTAAAGATGTCAAGAGTGCGTACAATATTTTGTGACAATTTCAAACTCATGTCAGGGGACTCTAAAACTTTGCCAAAGATTTCATTGCAGCCACTTGAAAGAGAAAACCAAGTAAAGCAATTAAGTATTTATTTATAGAAATTATAGAATATTTTAAATACTTTTTATATTTATTAATGGTTTGCATTAATTGTGTGCTGTAAGAATCCTTATAAAGTCCCGAATTATAACGGCGTATATCACGATAGATATCATCAATAAATGTAAATAGTTTATACATTTTCAAATGTGTTGTTGTTGCTGCTGCTGATGAAGAGGACAAGGTGTTGGATGAAGTATTAGAGATGGAGGAAGGAGATGAGGCGGCAGCTATTGCTGCTGCAGTTGTTGATGTTGTCGGTAAAACTAAATTGTGATCTTTGGCGCTGTCTGTGTTTTTTGTTGTTGTTGCTGCTGCGGTTGTTTTGATTTCTTTTTTTTGTGGTCCAGCCACTTTAGCCGTACAAACTGTGGCTTTAAATTCTTTAAAAGACAACATGCTAAAAGTAGAAATAATAACAATTATTATATAAACAAAAAAAAACTAATTATAAAATTACAAAATAAACCCACTTTTTTGTTTAAAAGTATTAAGTTTTGTTTATAAAAATATAAAAAATTTAAATTGGTTTTTCGTTAATTTCTAATTGTGTTTAACACAACGTTTACGTCTGATTGTTATACAAAGACTGACTGGCTGAGTGAGTACAACTATTGGGAAAATTCAAATAATATAAATTTGTTAACATATATCCTCTCAAAAATAAATCTATGCAGGTAATAATCACCATAACATATACCAATATAGTTTGGAAATCATGTGTGTGCGTGTATGGACAGATGTAATCTTTGTTTTAACGTCTTCAGGTAGTATAGTAAAGGACATTTATGATACCTACATATATATGTATGTATAAAGGTATTTCCAAAAGTAGTTTCTCGAGTTTAGTCCTACCGGTTTAGGATGCTTAAGAAATTACACATACATACATATGTCCATATTATGTTTGACACTAATAAACTAATTAGCAAAGATATGTGTAGGAATCTGTAGCAGTTTTAATCTATTTAAAATAACAAATTAGTTTATAAAGAAATTGCTGAATATTCGAAATAAATAAATAAAATAAATGTTTTAAATTATTTTCAAAAATTTTAAGTTCGAAATAGAAAAATGTTTGCAAATTTTCCGCATATAAGATCATAATTTAAGGAAGTTCGAAATTAATTTTAAACATAACTGCCACCTCGAAATTGACAAAAATGAAAATTTTTTTGCCTTAGCAGTTTTTAGTAGTTTTTCTTTAAAACAAATTATCGACTTAGAGATTTTTCTATAGAAAAATTGTCTCCTTAATAGTTTTTCTATAAAAAATTGTTGCCTTAGTAGTTTTTCTGCAGAAAAATTGTCGCTTTAATGAATTTTTTATAGAAAAATTGTCGCCTTAGTAGTTTTTTTCGAAATATTATCGCTTTAATGATTTTTCTTTAGAATAACTGTCGCCTAAGTAGTTGTTCGTCGAAAAATTGTCGCTTTAATGATTTTTCTATAGAAAAATTGTCGCTTTAATGATTTTTCTATAGAAAAATTGTCGCTTTAATGATTTTTCTATAGAAAAATTGTCGCTTTAAAGATTTTTCTATAGAAAAATTGTCGCCTTAATGATTTTTCTATAGAAAAAATGTCGCTTTAATGATTTTTCTATAGAAAAATTGTCGCTTTAATGATTTTTCTATAGAAAAATTGTCGCTTTAATGATTTTTCTATACAAAAAATGTCGCCTTAATGATTTTTCTATAGAAAAATTGTCGCCTTAATGATTTTGCTATAGAAAAATTGTCGCCTTAATGATTTTTCTATAGAAAAATTGTCGCCTTAATGATTTTTCTATAGAAAAATTGTCGCTTTAATGACTTTTCCATAGAAAAATTGTCGCTTTAATGATTTTTCTATAGAAAAATTGTCGCTTTAATGATTTTTCTATAGAAAAATTGTCGCTTTAATGATTTTTCTATAGAAAAATTGTCGCTTTAATGATTTTTCTATAGAAAAATTGTCGCTTTAATGATTTTTCTATAGAAAAATTGTCGCTTTAATGAGTTTTCTATAGAAAAATTGTCGCCTTAATGATTTTTCTATAGAAAAAATGTCGCCTTAATGATTTTTCTATAGAAAAAATGTCGCCTTAATGATTTTTCTATAGAAAAATTGTCGCCTTAATGATTTTTCTATAGAAAAATTGTCGCCTTAATGATTTTTCTATAGAAAAATTGTCGTCTTAATGATTTTTCTATAGAAAAATTGTCGCCTTAATGATTTTTCTATAGAAAAATTGTCGCTTTAATGATTTTCTAAAGAAAATTTGTGGCTTTAATGAGTTTTCTATAGAAAATTTGTGGCTTTAATAAGTTTTCCATAAAAAAGTTGTTGCTTTAATGACTTTTCTTTATTGATTTTTTCAAAAAAAATGTTGCTTTTATAACTCGTTCATAGAAAATTGTCGCTTTGATGATTTTTTTATAGAAAAAAGATTACCTATAAAAAATTTTACAATTTTCATAAAATTATTAAATCAATCAGATATTAATAAAATTAACTTAAAAAACTGTAAGTATTTCAATAAATTATTAATTTTTTTTTATGAATTATTACATTATACCTCTCTAATTGCTTTTACTTGTATAAATATTTTATTGCATAAAAAAAGTAATATGCCATTTACATTCCTAAACTTTACAATAACATTGTTTTAACGTCAATTACATTATTATTTCTTAAGTATAAAACCAGTTATACAAACATAAATAGCTTGACATTTAAATTTTCTGCAATACAATAAATAAATCTTGAATGAAATTCTTAAGCACCATATTCTACATTTAATATGAGTTAAAATAAACTTTTAAGAATTTATTCTAAAGGAAAAAGTAATAAAAGGAAAAATTTTTCGTTCTAGAAGACGAACTCAGGATCTCAAGACTTCTGAATAGTATTTCTAAGAAACCAGTTCTAAACACTGTTTTCAAGTATTTCTGAAAAGCTTTTCTTAGTAACCAGTTTAAGAGTTACACATTGTTTCCATAAAAATATTAAAATTTTAATTTTTATGCAAATTTAGTGCATTCGAACTTTAATCTTTCCTACATGCTCTAAATATTCCTGCAAAAAAAAAACAAAAGAATGTCTACAAACTTATCACTGATATATACCGGCTAGCAACAACAAAGCATATTATTCTTTGCTGTGTTTTATCAATTAGAAATCTTTTTAAAGATTATTATATTAATAATATAAATAAATATATATCACACACTAAATGAAAGTGAAAATACACATCTTTTACACTTATTTCCATTTAAATTTGTATATATTTTCTGCTGACATACAATGTCTACATAGATAAAGTAAAAGATGTAGAAGAAGTATCGGTGAGTGATACCTCCACATCTTAATAATGCAAAGAAAATTAGTATAAAAAAAGTTCAGATATTCAGCATTGAATCATATTTAAAGAATAGAGTATATGGTATATAAAAGATTAATTATTGTTTAATGAGGGAACAATAAATCATGCAAAAAATATCAATTCTGATGATGCTGATGAATTTAACTAAAATTGAAATAATTGTAATTTTGAAAATTTTTAAATTTATGTATTTACATTTATAGATGACAAATTATTTATTGTTAATCTTGTTGTTGGTAATAAATAACTAGTTTTTTTTAATTTCTTAGATTTTAAATTATTCATAAAAACTTTCTTTTACGCTTGAATAGTGGGGAGAGATCAATGACTGATTGAATGGGCTTAAAATGAGTGTTTAGTAGTTGCAGATTAAAATGTTGATGTCAATTGTTTTTCTTTTCTGTTTTTCTGTCTGTTTTAGTTATGTTGCATATTTGTCATGAAATAATTTGACTTAACATTTTTTTTAATTATTTCAATCATGATGTTTATAATTATGACATAAAACCTAGTCTAGTCTATAGTCTAGTCTATAGTCTAGTCTATAGTCTAGTCTATAGTCTAGTCTATAGTCTAGTCTATAGTCTAGTCTAGTCTAGTCTATAGTCTAGTCTATAGTCTAGTCTATAGTCTAGTCTATAGTCTAGTCTATAGTCTAGTCTATAGTCTAGTCTATAGTCTAGTCTATAGTCTAGTCTATAGTCTAGTCTATAGTCTAGTCTACAGTCTAGTCTACTAGTCTAGTCTATAGTCTAGTCTATAGTTTAGTCTATAGTCTTAGTCTATAGTCTAGTCTATAGTTTAGTCTATAGTCTAGTCTATAGTCTAGTCCTATAGTCTAGTCTATAGTCTAGTCTATAGTCCTAGTCTATAGTCTAGTCTATAGTCCTAGTCTATAGTCTAGTCTATAGTCTAGTCTATAGTCTAGTCTATAGTCTAGTCTATAGTCTAGTCTATAGTCTAGTCTATAGTCTAGTCTATAGTCTAGTCTATAGTCTAGTCTATAGTCTAGTCTATAGTCTAGTCTATAGTCTAGTCTATAGTCTAGTCTATAGTCTAGTCTATAGTCTAGTCTATAGTCTAGTCTATAGTCTAGTCTATAGTCTAGTCTATAGTCTAGTCATAGTCTAGTCTATAGTCTAGTCTATAGTCTAGTCTATAGTCTAGTCTATAGTCTAGTCTATAGTCTAGTCTATAGTCTAGTCTATAGTCTAGTCTATAGTCTAGTCTATAGTCTAGTCTATAGTCTAGTCTATAGTCTAGTCTATAGTCTAGTCATAGTCTAGTCTATAGTCTAGTCTATAGTCTAGTCTATAGTCTAGTCTATAGTCTAGTCTATAGTCTAGTCTATAGTCTAGTCTATAGTCTAGTCTATAGTCTAGTCTATAGTCTAGTCATAGTCTAGTCTATAGTCTAGTCTATAGTCTAGTCTATAGTCTAGTCTATAGTCTAGTCTATAGTCTAGTCTATAGTCTAGTCTATAGTCTAGTCTATAGTCTAGTCTATAGTCTAGTCTATAGTCTAGTCTATAGTCTAGACTATAGTCCAGTCTATAGTCTAGTCTATAGTCTAGTCTATAGTCTAATCTATAGTCTAGTCTATAGTCTAGTCTATAGTCTAGTCTATAGTCTAGTCTATAGTCTAGTCTATAGTCTAGTCTATAGTCTAGTCTATAGTCTAGTCATAGTCTAGTCTATAGTCTAGTCTATAGTCTAGTCTATAGTCTAGTCTATAGTCTAGTCTATAGTCTAGTCTATAGTCTAGTCTATAGTCTAGTCTATAGTCTAGTCTATAGTCTAGTCTATAGTCTAGTCTATAGTCTAGTCTATAGTCTAGTCTATAGTCTAGCTATAGTCTAGCTATAGTCTAGTCTATAGTCTAGTCTATAGTCAGTCTAGTCTATAGTCTAGTCTATTAGTCTAGTCTATAGTCTAGTCTATAGTCTAGTCTATAGTCTAGTCTATAGTCTAGTCCTATAGTCTAGTCTATAGTCTAGTCAAGTATAGTCTAGTCTATAGTCTAGTCTATAGTCTAGTCTATAGTCTAGTCTATAGTCTAGTCTATAGTCTAGTCCTATAGTCCTAGTCTATAGTCTAGTCTATAGTCTAGTCTATAGTCTAGTCTATAGTCTAGTCTATAGTCTAGTCTATAGTCTAGTCTATAGTCTAGTCTATAGTCTAGTCTATAGTCTAGTCTATAGTCTAGTCTATAGTCTAGTCTATAGTCTAGTCTATAGTCTAGTCTATAGTCTAGTCTATAGTCTAGTCTATAGTCTAGTCTATAGTCTAGTCTATAGTCTAGTCTATAGTCTAGTCTATAGTCTAGTCTATAGTCTAGTCTATAGTCTAGTCTATAGTCTAGTCTATAGTCTAGTCTATAGTCTAGTCTATAGTCTAGTCTATAGTCTAGTCTATAGTCTAGTCTATAGTCTAGTCTATAGTCTAGTCTATAGTCTAGTCTATAGTCTAGTCTATAGTCTAGTCTATAGTCTAGTCTATAGTCTAGTCTATAGTCTAGTCTATAGTCTAGTCTATAGTCTAGTCTATAGTCTAGTCTATAGTCTAGTCTATAGTCTAGTCTATAGTCTAGTCTATAGTCTAGTCTATAGTCTAATCTATAGTCTAGTCTATAGTCTAGTCTATAGTCTAGTCTATAGTCTAGTCTATAGTCTAGTCTATAGTCTAGTCTATAGTCTAGTCTATAGTCTAGTCTATAGTCTAGTCTATAGTCTAGTCTATAGTCTAGTCTATAGTCTAGTCTATAGTCTAGTCTATAGTCTAGTCTATAGTCTAGTCTATAGTCTAGTCTATAGTCTAGTCTATAGTCTAGTCTATAGTCTAGTCTATAGTCTAGTCTATAGTCTAGTCTATAGTCTAGTCTATAGTCTAGTCTATAGTCTAGTCTATAGTCTAGTCTATAGTCTAGTCTATAGTCTAGTCTATAGTCTAGTCTATAGTCTAGTCTATAGTCTAGTCTATAGTCTAGTCTATAGTCTAGTCTATAGTCTAGTCTATAGTCTAGTCTATAGTCTAGTCTATAGTCTAGTCTATAGTCTAGTCTATAGTCTAGTCTATAGTCTAGTCTATAGTCTAGTCTATAGTCTAGTCTATAGTCTAGTCTATAGTCTAGTCTATAGTCTAGTCTATAGTCTATAGTCTATAGTCTAGTCTATAGTCTAGTCTATAGTCTAGTCTATAGTCTAGTCTATAGTCTAGTCTATAGTCTAGTCTATAGTCTAGTCTATAGTCTAGTCTATAGTCTTAGTCTATAGTCTAGTCTATAGTCTAGTCTATAGTCTAGTCTATAGTCTAGTCTATAGTCTAGTCTATAGTCTAGTCTATAGTCTAGTCTATAGTCTAGTCTATAGTCTAGTCTATAGTCTAGTACTATAGTCTAGTCTATAGTCCTACGTCTATAATCTACTCTATACTCTATCTATACTCTACTCTATACTCTACTCTATACTCTACTCTATACTCTACTCTACTCTATACTCTACTCTATCTACTATACTCTACTCTATACTCTACTCTATACTCTACTCTATACTCTGACCTATACTCTACTCTATACTCTACTCTATACTCTGATCTATACTCTACTCTATAGTCTACTCAACTTTATTGTCTGTAAATTTTGTATATCCTTTTAGTCTTAATACTTTTCTGTTACCCTGTTTCCCCACAACAGCAAGTGCCTGTTTGTCTGTCTGTCTTGCTATGCCTATTAAAGCTAATGTTGTGGCTTAAACAAACAAATGTAAAATATAGTTTACAATATACATATTCATGCATCCACAGTCTAGACTTTTGCACATGTTGTTGTATGTTAATAATTTATTGTTTCTTTTTTTTTCCGCTGATATTTTTTGTCTAGTTAAAGGGGTACAGTATTTGTTAGCGAAAAGAAATATTATTGATGATACAGGTATTTTTTTGCTGTAGTCATATGCACAGACATGCAAAGAAAAGAAAAACTCCTTTTTGCAGATACATATCCATAGCTAGATGGCAAAAGAGACAATTTTGAAAGTCTTAATGATTCTCGTTTTCTTTGTTTTTTTTTTTTTTTTTGATTGTGCGTTTTTTATTTGGTTTGTTTGTTGTCTTAAAACAAAGTTACATTTAAGCAAGCAGGTTGCGTATGCAAATAATTTACAATTTACTGATTTTGTTTTTTGGAGTAGAAAAACAAGTTGGGATTTTTGACATGTAAGTAATAATTTGGTTTTTTGTTTGTTTTAGGTGGAAAATAAAGATAAATTTAAATTAAGTCTAACTAGTTTTCTAACGGTTTTTAAAAAACCACTAATATGGTTTTAAAATCTAGTATAAATGCATTTATAAGTATATTTAAAGTTTTTTTTTTTATTATTTTTGGTACTTTATGTAAAATTTATTGTAGTTAGTTGGGAAACTAAAGCATGTCGATAGGAAAATTTGTCAGTCTCAATTATTCAAACATTTTTACGAAAAAGATTTGTAGTCGTTCCTCGACCACACAGGGTGATTTAGCTTAAAAAAAACAAAAATGCTTCATTTTATTGGTAACAATTTTTTTAAAAATTCTTAGCTGTAAAGGGTTGTAATGAAATGCTGTGTATATTCATCTAAAGGGGGAACGCCTTTTGCAAAAAAGGATTGCTATTTACAAAACCTATTTAAACATATACTGGTTTTTCGCAATTTTGGTCGTGCAACAGTCTGAACTACCCTTATTAATAGATTAAAGTATTCCGACTTTGTTCTTTATTTGTGGGACATGTATCCATTCAAATTACAACAAATACTGTAAAACTGAAAGCTATAAAAGCAGGATTTCCCTGCTCTTCATTTGCACATGGACTTTTGACACTTCTGTACTTATATTCTCAAATATGATCAACAGCCTTGTATATAATCTATAGTCTATTGTGGACATTGTATCAACCATATTTTGTATTTCCCTGGAAATATCTCTCGAAAATAATAGAACTATTACAACAACAACAAATAACCCCTTTAACAATATTTGGTTAAAAACGATTATCACTGCTTTAACCATCTTTAGGAGATTTGTAAACAATTATTCAGCTCATACTGTTCACAGCCTGGTAGACGGAGTTTGTTGTTATATTTTTTTTTCTCACAAAATGATCTGTTGGCATTAAGCTGGCAAAAAAATTTGCAAATGATATTAAAAATAGAATAGAAGATATAAACACAAAGGAGAAGAATAAAATAACAGGTTTAATAGCAACAATAAGCTAAATATGTATAAAAAATGTAAATAAACAGGAATTACAAAAGAAAAAGTCAAACAAAAAATAAGAACAACAAATAAACAGGTACTATATGTTTTATACATATGCATAAACTTCTCACGCATTAAACTTTTATACTATTTTCTTTTTTTATTGTAATTGTTGTTTTTACAACAACAAATAAGCGTAATGTATCCACTGGAGTAGTATTTGTTTAGAGAAAAAGTTTTGCAGCAATAATTACTTACAACAGCAAACAAAAAAATTTGATGATGCATATTGTTGAGAAAAAAAAAAGAAATAAAATAATTTACCAGATTTTGATTATACACTCACTTAACCAAACCCCCAACAGACTTGTTTTTCTACGCACTGCTTTTTTCATATTTCAATTGTTTTTATTTTTATCTTTCAACCAAATTATACAAAAATTTTCAATCACATTCTGTTTGCCCACCTTGCTTTAGCTTAGTTTCATTTGATGGCATTTCCTGAACCGAAATTTTAAAAGATACAAACAAAAAAAAATGTGGAAAAAATCTTCAGGCTGTGCCTCTGTTTCTACTAAGTTGGTCTACAGGAAAAAAATACTGTATTAACAAAAGCAACAACAAGAGCAGAAACAACTCATGAGTGAGCACCTTACTCACCACCACTAAGAAAGTTATGCAAAAAACAGTAATAACACACAAAAAAATAACAACGCAACTTACGTTCTTTTTTTTCTGTAACTATTTCAGTTTGGTTTTTGTTTTATTAAACTTTAGGTTTAAAAATCTCTTTCCGAAAACACTTTTATTTCTTTATAATATATTTCAATACTTTTGCTGCTAAAATTTCTGTAACAATTTTCTTTGAAAATTTCTTCTTTTTTTTCATGCTTTTTCTTTTTTGAGGTAATTTAATACAGAAAAATTAAAAATGGCGACCTCAGCCGAAAAAGACATAATACACTTTTTTTAATTCATTTTTTTCAGCAAATACACATTTTTCACGAGTAAATTTTTGCACTTAACACACGCAAATACTTAATTAACTTAGATTTAGTATTTTTAATGTATTAATTTTATTTTTTTCTATTAAAATTTATAATTTTATATATTTTACGTGAGCGAGTATGAAAATTTTCTTTTGCTTGTATGGCAGAGAACTGTGTCGACAAGTACTAACGCCGTTCTTGGCGGCTGACGCTAAATATGCCAACGCCGAATGAAAATCGGATGTAAGCCGGCCAAATTTTTAGTTTTGTTTTGTTTTAAATGTTCAATGACATTTATGAATGAAAGGTAAATTTCAAAAACGTGCTTTTGACTCGCCTGTAAACTAGTTTGCTAACTATTCTATTAATTATTCAATTGAATATTCTGCGAACTATTATGAAAATAAGTCCAAAGAATATTTTATTTCCTAGTCCACTAGCTACTCTAATAAGTAGTCAAATGACTATTCTAATAGTCTCGTTATTGGTCTATAAAGTAATTTATTGACTATTCTATTTAGAATAGCTGATAATACAGTAAAAAATCGTTTTTACCGTTTGCCGTTGTATTTTTTTTTTTTTTTTTTTAAATTTTGCTGAAAATTTTCGACGGCGTTGGCTAAGCTAACTCGGAATCGGCGTTAGTCTCAATTGTACAAGGTTGTTAATTTAGGTATTGAAGGAAAAGTGATAAAAAAAGGAAGTTACAAATTCATCGGAAAATCAAAAACAAATTAGCTTTAAACCAACAACATGTTAATTTCATAATAATTTGTTTCTAGTATATTCGAGAATTATGATAAGTAATTAAATAATTTATTTATATTTAGAAATAAATATGCATATAGAAAACATATGCGTATACAAACATTACCAAACATTAACAATAGTACTTATTGTTAGAATTTTTAAGAAATCACAAAAAACTCTGGCTAATTCAAAACTTAACCAGTAATAATATTTTTAAATTATCTCATCTAAGTCAATATTTATTTTAGTAAAATAAGAAAAATAAAGGATTTTTTATGGTAAAAAATGGCTCATTATTATATTTTTTATAAATAAATTTATTATTATACGAAAATATGTAATTTAAGTTTTAAGTTGAATTAAACAAATTGAAATAAATAATGAAATATAATAAAAGAAATGTTGTATATACAAATTTAAAACAGAATATTTAAATTTATTTGCTGTAAATGTTATAAAAACAAATGTTGTGAATTTAATTTAATATTGTAATATTTTTATGTTGTTTAACTTAACGAAGTTTTGCATTTATTTTTAATGATCTGGCTACTTCATTCATATAATACAACTCTGCAAACGTATAATCTGTTAATCTTTCACTTTGATTGACTTTGAAGAAGAGGAAGCATTATTTACAGTTATAAAATTGCATATTTTGTGAATTTTTTATAATATTAAACCTAGAAACATGAAATTAGGATTGTACAGCCCGGATTAAGTGATAACATATAAAAGGGGACTTTTTGGTACTTTTTCGTTCTTCAAAAGGTATTTTTTAATTTTCTATAATATTGAACCTATAGACATGAAATGAAAATGAAGTGAGAACATATAAAACGGGACTTTTTGGACTTTAGTTTAAACTTAAACTAACCAACATGAAATTTTGCCAACATTTTTTTTTATGGAAAATTTTTCATACAATTTTTGCCTTTAGCGAGTTTTTCTTAAAATTATTTCTTTTATAGGAAATTTTTGTTAAAATTTTCTTTTTTTGTGGAACATTTTTGTTACATTTTATTCTATAGAAAAATTGTCGCCTTAGTAGTTTTTCTATAGAAAACTTGTCGCCTTACTAGTTTTTCTATAGAAAACTTGTTATCTTGGTAGTTTTTATATAGAAAATTTGTTGCCTTTGTGATTTTTTTTATAGAAAACTTGTCGCCTTAGTGATTTTTTATAGAAAACTTGTCGTCTTAGTGATTTTTTATAGAAAACATGTCGCCTTAGTGATTTTTCTCTAGAAAAATTGTCGCCTTAGATATTTTCTGTAGAAAATTGTCGTTTTGTCGTTGATTTTACTATAGAAACATTGTCGCCTAGTAGATTTTTCTACTACTTTCTATGTCGCTTTAAAAGTATTTCCATAGAAAAAATTGTCGCCTTTGTGATTTTTCTGTAGAAAAATTGTTGTCTTAAAAAACACCCATCGCCCAAATAAAATAATTATTTAATTACTTTTCAAATTGTTTTATCAGTTCTTTATTTTATACATTTCAAATATTTGTTAATTTCTCATTATTTTAATTCTTTACAAAAATTTTTTCTCACATTTGATGGAAGAAGAGTTAAAGTAGTGTGTAACCTTAAGATTAGCTGGAATTTTTCTTAGAAAAATATAAATTAAAAAAAAAAAACTTAGAGAGAACATTCTTACATTCTTTCTACAGGCTAAAAATGCTAAAACTTTTCTAACACAAATTCTCTTACAACATCATAGACGTTTTTAGAAAACTACTTTTTCCCATCCTTAAACATTTCAAAAAAAGTCATGTTAAAATAATTTTAATATTTTTTTCTTTTTTAATTTAATTATTATTACATATATAAAAAATAGAATTAATTAAAACTTGTTGTTTGTTATTTATAACTTATTACAAAAACGGAAAGCAAGATTTTTTATTTTTTCAAAAAAAAAAATTAACAATAAATCGTTAATTTATTGTTATAAAAAACTTAAAAACACTTATAAGAAACAGCGGGATTAACCAGTTAACCCTGCTGGATGTTGTTGATGTGTTTTGTTGTTGTTGTTTAAAAAGATGCAAACAAAAAATGCAATTCTTTAAAAACTAAATTTAAAAAAACCGTTAAAATAAACAAAGAATGTTTTAGAGGTGGTATGATGAAGGGTTTTTGTTGTTGTTGTTTTCAAAGGAATTAAATTAAATGAAGAAAATTCAAATGGTGGTGGGCGGAGGAGTAGGAAAAGTTATACAGAGAAAGTGTATAAAAAGGGGGGGGGGGGGATGAGGTGATAGTTTGGAAAATTTACAATTCATCCTTCTTGTGCTCCTCTTCTTCTTCAACCTTTTCTTCTTCTTCGGCCTAAAAAAAACAAAAAAAAGAAAACAATAAGTAAAAGCAACTAAAGTTTGTTAGTTTGTGTTCCAACTTACAGATTTCAAATCACCACCGGCTTCCAAGAATTTAACGAAATCATCCAAAGTTCTGTCCAAATTGTAGTCGATGACCTTGTTATCGCCCTTGCGGTACAATTTGATGGTGGGGAATGAGGAGATCTTGGTGTGTTCCAATTCGTTGGCAGTTGAGTCGATCTTGGCAATGACAACGGTTTCGCTATCCTTGAATTTCTCACCCAATTGATCGTAGATGGGAGCCAATTGTTTGCAGTGTCCGCACCAGGGAGCATAGAATTCAACCAAAACATCCTTGCTCTTGTCCATGGCAACATCATCGAAGTTGGTGGCAACCAAAACCTTAACGGGGTTCTTGTCCCAGTCTTCGGGCAATTCTTGAGACAACAAATGTTGCTTGAGTTTACCATCCATGAATTTTTGCAAAAAGTCCTTGATGGTTTCGGCGGACAAGTCGTTGTTTTCGGGCTTGTATTTGGCCATATCTTCTTCCAATTTGATCAAACGGATGGTGGGTACTTCTTCCTTGGTCATGCCGAAGAATTCAAAGATACGGGCGTGGTCTTCTTCATCAGAGGAGATGGTAACGAAGAGAATATCATCACGGTATTGTTTGGCAATATCCTTCAAGGGTTCAACGTATTTCTCGATGTGACCGGCTTCCTTGGAGACGAAGAACAACAAGTGAGATTTGATTTGACCACCGAAGATTTTGGAGGCAGATTCGTGGTTGAATTCAACAATCAAGGGCAAAGATTCGACTTGAGCGAATTTCTTCAAGTTGGCCAAAGTAAGTTCACCTTCGAAAACGGTCTTCTTGTCATCGAAAGGCTTGAACATAACAACAGCACCATCCTTAACTTCGTATTTGGCAACAACATCATCGCTGGAGGTCAAACCGAAAGGAATGGGGTCCAATTCACCGGCAGCAGCAACGAAAGCTTTAGCGGCATCACTTTCCAAGTCCTTGAAGAAACCAATGATGGCAATCTGTGGAACAAAAAAGTGTTAATAAAAATTAGTAAACTTTTTTAGTTTTATTTTTCCTCTTTTTGAACTTACTTCATTATCCTTCAAGAATTTCTCAGCTTCTTCAACAGTGGGCAAATCCTTGGCAGGGGGACCAGTCTTCTTGTTAACCCAGCTAACAATATCGGCAGCTTGACGACCACCAGTGTATTCGACGGGAGCACCGTTGCGGAAGAATTTCAAGGTGGGGTAGCCACGTACTTGGTATTCTTCAGCCAAAGGACCTTCAACAGTAGCATCAACCTTAGCCAACTTAATGTTGGATTCTTTTTCGGCCAAGGTTTGAGCAGCTTTAGCGTATTCGGGAGCTAAAGATTTGCAGTGACCGCACCAGGGAGCGTCTGTAACGAAACGGAAGAAGGAAAAAGAAAGTAAATATTTGTAGATTTATTGAAAACCGGAACAGAACTGAACTAAAACTGAACTAGAGTCGAACTAGAACTGAACTAGAAATGAAATAGAACTGAACTATAACTGAACTAGAACCTAAACTATAACTGAACGAGAACTGAACTAGAACTGAACTAGAACTGAACTAGAACTGAACTAGAACTGAACTAGAACTGAACTAGAACTGAACTAGAACTGAACTAGAACTGAACTAGAACTGAACTAGAACTGAACTAGAACTGAACTAGAACTGAACTAGAACTGAACTAGAACTGAAGTAGAACTGAACTAGAACTAAACTAGAACCTAAACTATAACTGAACGAGAACTGAACTAGAACTGAACTAGAACTGAACTAGAACTGAACTAGAACTAGAACTGAACTAGAACTGAACTAGAACTGAACTAGAACTGAACTAGAACTGAACTAGAACTGAACTAGAACTGAACTAGAACTGAACTAGAACTGAACTAGAACTGAACTAGAACTGAACTAGAACTGAACTAGAACTGAACTAGAACTGAACTAGAACTGAACTAGAACTGAACTAGAACTGAACTAGAACTGAACTAGAACTGAACTAGAACTGAACTAGAACTGAACTAGAACTGAACTAGAACTGAACTAGAACTGAACTAGAACTGAAATAGAACTGAACTATAAGTGAACTAGAAGTGAACTAAAACTGAACTAAAACTGAACTAGAACTGAACTAGAACTGAACTAGAACTGAAAAAGAACTGAACTAGAACTGAACTAGAACTGAACTAGAACTGAACTAGAACTGAACTAGAACTGAACTAGAACTGAACTAGAACTGAACTAGAACTGAACTAAAACTGAACTAGAACTGAACTAGAACTGAACTAGAACTGAAGTAGAACTGAACTAGAACTGAACTAGAACTGAACTAGAACTGAACTAGAACTGAACTAGAACTGAACTAGAACTGAACTAGAACTGAACCAGAACTGAACTAGACTAGAACTGAACTAGAATGAACTGAACTAGAACTGAACTAGAACTGAACTAGAACTGACTAGAACTGACTAGAACTGAACTGAACTAGAACTGAACTAGAACTGAACTAGAACTGAACTAGAACTGAACTAGAACTGAACGAGAACTGAACTAGAACTGAATAGAACTGAACTAGAATTGAACTAGAACTGAACTAGAACTGAACTAGAACTGAACTAGAACTGACTAGAATGAAATAGAACTGACTAGAACTGAACTAGAACTGAACTAGAACTGAATCTAGAACTGAAGCTAGAACTGAACTAGAACTGAACTAGAACTGAACTAGAACTGACTAGAACTGAACTAGAACTGAACTAGAAACTGAACTAGAACTGAACTAGAACTGAACTAGAACTGAACTAGAACTGAACTAGAACTGAACTAGAACTGAAACTAGAACTGAACTAGAACTGAACTAGAACTGAACTAGAACTGAACTAGAACTGAACTAAACTGAACTAGAACTGAACTAGAACTGAACTAGAACTGAACTAGAACTGAACTAGAACTGAACTAGAACTGAACTAGAACTGAACTAGAACTGAACTAGAACTGAACTAGAACTGAACTAGAACTGAACTAGAACTGAACTAGAACTGAACTAGAACTGAACTAGAACTGAACTAGAACTGAACTAGAACTGAACTAGAACTGAACTAGAACTGAACTAGAACCGAACTAGAACTGAACTAGAACTGAACTAAAGCTGAACTAGATCCGAACTAGAGCTGAAGTAGAACCGAACAGAACAGTAAAAGAACTCAACTAGAATTAAATTGGACCGAACTAGAACTAAACTAGAACTGAACTAGAACTGAACTAGAACTGAACTAGAACTGAACTAGAACTGAACTAAAGCTGAACTAGATCCGAACTAGAGCTGAAGTAGAACCGAACAGAACAGTAAAAGAACTCAACTAGAATTAAATTGGACCGAACTAGAACTAAACTAGAACTGAAATAGAACCAAATTAATATTTTTCCTAGTTTATTAATGATTAAGTTTTATTTATTTTTGTTATATTAAATTTTATAATAACCGTTTTTAATTGAAACAAATTTCATATGAAATGATTCACCGCTTTTAAAATTATAGCTTTTTAAATCAAATTAAGCATAAAAATAGTAAACATTGTATAATTTTATTAAAAAATCATACATAATTACGCAAAAAACATAAAACGGATGTCGGAAAAAAATAACTTGTTTAAAATGTGTCGTCATTTGAAAAACAACTAATTTACACCCAAATGAATACAATCTACATAATTATTAAATAGAAATTTAAATAATATATAGCACAAAGCAAAAGAAAAAAAGAAAAGAAATAATAATGACAAGTTTAACTGACAATGATGCTGCTAAAATAGACATTTCTAACTATTTTTAACTTTCCAGGGGGACAAAAAAGCCACGTATGCAATCATTAACACTAAAGCTGATAATAGGGTAGAAGACAGGGCATAAAAGCAGTTAAAGTGTTAGATGCTTATTGGGAATGACGTCTATTGCTTAGGCAAAAGAAAAAAAAACCCAAACAATTGTTAACTAAACAAGTTAAGAGAAATTAATAGAGAGCATGAGGAGGGAGTATTTGCAAAACTAAGAGTATAAAGATTTGTCAACATACGTGGCCTTTAGTTGAAATGAAAATAAGAAATTATAAATAAATTTTGTTAAAATTTTAAACAACTTTTTGAAAAAAATTTCTAGATAAGGTTTAAGAAATACACAATTTATTAAAAGGCTTATCAGAAATCAAATGGAAATATATAAAAAATTATTTTTTTTTTTTTCGGAGGAATAGGAAGTGGTGGGAAAAGGTATATATTTTGAAAAATTTGCGTTTAACAAAAGATAAGCTGAAGGAATGCATAGTAACGTAGCTAGAGTGTTTTTTTTTAACAAAACATTGACATTTACTTAATTGTTTTTTTAAATGTTTAAAAAAATGCAAGCTGTTAAAAAGACACGTAAGGTGTTTTAAACATATTGTCTTTTTTAATAAATTTAAACAAGTGTTTCTTTAGTTAACAATATTTAAAATATTATATTTTATTTAAATTTAAATAAATGTTTTAAGGGAATTATTAAATTTTATGCAAACTTTAAACAAGTGTTTCTTTTGTTCATAAAACTTTTGTCAGTTTAAAATTTAATTTAACATTTTTTTAAAGAAAATTAACAATGCTGTCTTTAAACAAATATTTTAAGAACAAGTAAGAAAGTATAGTCGGGCGTGGCCGGACCATATGATACCCTACACCAGTTATGAATATTAAATGTGATTTATTTTTCATTAATATCGCATTTATCTTCAATATTCCCTTGTTCCGATACATTTAAGCAATTTATGGATGAAAAACTAATTTTCTGAAAGAGGCTTTATATGGACCAAGCCCGATAAAATTTTGTGAATATATTTATATTTACATAATATTTTATTGTGCTGAATTTCATCGCGATATTTGTGTTTATAAGTTAATTTGGGACATTCAAGTAATTTTCTGAAGGGGACTTTGTATGGGAGCTAGGGTCAAATGGGGCCCGATCTTTATGAAATTTGGCAGGGTTATCAAGACTTCTATAAAACTTAGTTGTGCCGTATTTTATCGATATATCTGTATATTTAACATAATTATGAGCTCAAAAGCCCTTTTCGGGGGCTTCTGTTCTATGGGGGCTAGGTGAAATAATGGACCGATTTTAGCCATTTTCAATAGGCTTCGTCCTTGGGTCAAATAAAACGTGCGTGCCAAATTTCATCCAATTATCTTGAAAATTGCGACCTGTAGCTTGCGCACAAGGTTTACATGGACAGCCAGCCAGCCAGCCAGACGGACGGACGGACATAGCTTAATCGACTCAGAAAACGATTCTAAGCCGATTGGTATACTTTAAGGTGGGTCTAGGACGAATATTTTTATATGTCACAAACATCAGCACAAATCCAATAAACCCTCCCCACTAAAGTGGTGTAGGGTATAATAATTTTTAACACTTTTAAAACTACAGCAGCGTTTTCTTTTTAAAAACAAACATAATTATTTAAGAAACACACTTTAGAAACATATGTTGAGTTTTTTAAGCAAAATTTACTTAAGTCTTTCCTAAAACTTTACAATTCAGATCAAAAGTCTTTACAATGTCTTTAATTTACAAGTGTTTCTTTCAAAAAACTTTCGATTTCTACTAGAGCAATAACCCTTTTTTTTTCTTGCAATATGTATTGCAATTTGTTTTGGTTTAAAAATAACAACATATTGTTTACTTTAATTTTTTTTATAGCTACACACATGTTTTAAAAGAAGCTGTTGCTGCTTTTTTTTTATTAAAAAAAAAAATTACGTGTGTAATTAAATAAACAAGTTCATGACCACAAACACGTGCTAAATATAGTAACACAGCTGTATGCAGAATATCTTCAGAGTTTGGCGCTTAAAAGTTATAAAAATATATTGGCATATACTTGTTATAATGAGAAAAAAGTAGAAGTAAAATCATTGCAATTTATAAAGAAAAATGTGCAAAAAATTTATTGCAAATTAAGAAAAATTTAGGGATTTATTGGAATTTGCCATTTCTATATCAAATCCCTTTGATTTTGAAGTCAATTCTTTTATCAACTGCCACTGTTCAAAATTTTCTCTTAATTTTAATAAAACAAATCAAAATTCTTTAAAACTACAACAAATTTAGACAAAACAAACTTCATGACATTTACCTAAACATCAAACAGCAACAACAACAAAAACTATTACCATCCATTCATAAACTACCTCATAGAGTTCAATAGTGATCATTGTACCAAATACCTAAAATAAATATTAAATAAGCGGCTTGAAAATCTAACATGTTAATAAAAAAAAACTAAATAAACATGTTCAAGACCAATCTTTTTTTCTCTCTTTCGCTATTATTACAAATTATATACAACCGGCAAACATAAAAACTCATTAATAAACAACACAGTACATAACAGACATACAAAGACATTAATGGTAGTTAAAAGGTTTAATGAACTTTTGAAAAAAAAAACTATAGAAAAAATAACGGCTTTTAAACTAACTATGGAAAATAAATATTGAGGCATAACAATAACAAATAGACTGTATTGAAGAGAACTAATAAAATAACAATAAATAAGGAGAAAGGAAATCAAATGATATTAAAGTTAAACAAAAGTATAGGAATTTTATAACAAATACATATTTGAAATCAGTTTAAAAGCAATAAAATAGTTTTATAGAAAAAAAGTATTGACCCATATTAAATGTTCAGAATAACAGGTTTTAGAATTCTAATAACTAATGAAGTAAATTAAAAAGAAAAGAACAAAACTTTTAGGTAGATTTAAGAAATAAAGATTAAAGATTATAAAGAAAGTTTGATCAAAAGAAACCAAACAAAATTGACTGAATAGAAAAAGATACAAATATGAAACTAGTTTTCTTTAGAAAAGTATTGAGAAATCATTGTTTAGATTAAAAAAGATTCTAAAGAAGAGATTTATATAATAAACTACGAAATACAAATATGTTTTGTTTATAAAAGTATTGAAATCACTGTCTCGATTTAAAAATATTTTAAATTAGATAATCATAAAACAAAATGGAATATTCCAGACTTATTTGTTTTGAAAAAGACTAGAAATCATTGTTCAAATTTTAAAAAAGGTGTTAATAAGATAATTATAAGAAAAAAAACGAAAATTACAAACAATTATTGTATAGAGTATGTAAAATATTTCAAGTATGTTTCAGATTATTCTTAAAAAATCTTAGTTTTTTAAGTTTTTAAACTATTTATAATATAAATTCTTTAAAATAACAAAAAAATCTTGAATTTCAAAAAAAATTCTTAAGCTTATTACTAAAATATTGCTAACAAAAAAACAAGCTTATCTAAAAGTTTTAATTAGCTTTAACAACAATAGCTCAGATTCTTGCTAGAAATCTCTGCTTATCTTTATAGCATTCAAAACAATATTATGTTGCACTTTAAAAAAGCATAAAACCTTTTGACCCTCCAAAAAATTTAAAAAACTTCCTAATAATAAAACCTGCTAGACTTTCTTATCTTTAAAATAAACACACGGATGTTGCCAGCGCAACATATCTCTTTATGATGCACATTTTCCTATCATTAAGAAAAGAGCATAAAGTTCAGGGCTCCTTATAGTCTAAGAAAACTGATAAACAAATGCATTTATCAAGTGCCACATAAGAAATTTATTATAGTTTCCTAATTTGAGATAAGAAACTAACGGCCGGCTTTTAAGATATGTTTGGGGTATTGAGTTTTAAGACGTGGCCATTGAACGTGTTAAAAACAAATATTTGATAACATTTGTTTTTTAAATACATGTTATAGAGATAAAAAATTAAAATGATTTATATATTAAGCTGTAAATTGACAAATAAAGTATACAAATAGTTTTTTAATATTATCATTTTTTTAATATTTTTCTAACAAGTTTGTTTAATTAAAAAATAATGATAAGAAATTAATAGTTTTGACTGCTTTATAGTTCAAAAATAGTAAACTAACTTTGAATGTTTAAAATAGAAATAGTTAGAGATAAAAATACAACAGAATTTTTTATTTTTGAATTGATAAAAAGAAAGAATTTTAAATATTGAAAATTTGTTAAAAAATAACTGAGATATAAGAAAAAAAATAAGAAAGCCTACGATTTTTAACTAAAACGTTGTAAAAGTTTAAATAAAAATCTTAATTTTTAAGTAACTAGATCTTTTAAAAGGGAATATTAAAGAGTATAGACTATTTATCATAGATTAGAGAAAAATTATATTGAAAAATCTTTTGAAATCAGTGCATGAGGGAGTTATGGTAAAAGAAGACCAACCATGCCTTTGAATCAGAAATTAGATTTAGGAATGGAATACATATAGACTAAACTTATCTTCTAATCTAGATCATTTAAAATGGAATATATAGCAACAATCAGTTTCTCATAGTTTTGTTAACATTTCTATAGAAAATCTGAGAAATCGGTTTATAAATATCAGAAAATAAGCTTTACAACACAACTATATTAATGTAAATAAAAAAAAATTCAATAAAACTTTATAAAATTTATATAAAAAAGTTAAAAATGTTAATAATAACAAATATTTCTAACAATTTCTTAACAAATTACAAAATCATTTTAATTAAATAGGTACTTTAACTAAAAGCCTCTACTAATGTTGACATAAAAAGGTGTTGCAAACTGCAGTTTGCGATACTTTCCAACACTACACATAAGAACAACAACAAAACTTAGTAAATCGCAAAAAAAAAGTTGGAAAAACAACAAATTAAAGATAACACATGACTAATAAACAATTATTGAACAAATATTTCACCATATTTCCTAAAAAGCATAGAGATAATTGGAAATTTTTAATTTTTAACCAAAATTTTAACGATTTAATAAAAAAAAAACTGACACGTCAACACAACATAACAAAAGAGCAAAGAAAGTATTCTTCCCCAATAAAAGAGAGTAAAGAAAAATATTAACTGTTTGTTTTTTTTTTTTCAATACACAAAGAGTTTGAAAAATGAACTCCAGAAAATGCCGGTAAAAGCAACAAGAATAAATGGCAAAAATAAAGGTTAGGTGGAAAAAAATTTAACTAAAACAAAAAACCGAACAGAAACGAGTTAATAAACTTAAGCAAGAACAAAAGATAAAACCATAAAAAAAATTGCGAAAAAATATTGTATAGACAATTGAGAAATTGTACACGCAGACAAGTTTTTTTCTTCACACTTTCAACAAAAGCAAATACAAACACAATTTTATCTATGGAAAAATAAAGCACTTTCCTACTTATGAAATAAAATTTTAATTAAATCTTTAATAAATTTGTACTTACAGAATTCTACCAAAATGAATTCATTATCGGCAATGGCTTTTTTGAAATTGTCCACAGTCAATACCAAGACACCATCTTCGGTTTTGATTTCTTCATCGGCGTATACAACACCCAAAGTGGCGGTAGCCACCAATAGTAACGAACACAATAAGAATTTCATTTTTTCTTCTGTTTTTTTATTTTTTGTAAATAATTCCGATTTGTATATTTAAATAAATGAAAATATACACACAAAATTACTTAAAGCGCGTTTTAACTAAACTAACTTTGGCCCAACAACGATGTTCACGCGTCGAAATTTAATTATAAAATGAATTCGTTCTCTTAATTTAGTAAAGAGGTTGTTTTTTTTTTTTTTCTTTTGAGAAAAGTGTAGAGAAAATACAAAATGACACGTCATTTTTATATTTCATTTTCAAACCACTGTTATCAATTTAGCTATTTTTATCCGAAATTCTAGCGATTTCTGATCTCATTTTACGGGGCATATATGATTTAGCTATCGATTTTCTTTAGATTTTAGGGCACTTTTAATTTAAATATATTGTATAAAAATTATATTTATATGTATATATATTATGGTAAAAAATTAATGAAATGTTTAAAAATGCAACCGTGTTTAGAAAAACACAATTGTATAAAGCCAACAAATCTGGTAACACTTGTCATAGGTAATAAATTAATAAATAGTGTTGTTAAGTGGCTTTAGGTGACACTGCATTATCTACAATAATAATTTTTATTTAAGTTTTTGTTAAATTTATTTCTCCTAAATATAGGCTGTGATTTTTTGTACTCACTTTTACAATATTGCTTCATGTCAGTTTCATTTAAAATGACTAACCACATTTGGTTATATTGTTAAAACAAAAAAGCGTTAATTTTTCAGTTCAGAAAAGTTGATTGTACATTTCGAAATTGTCAACTATTCTACTTTTTAACTAATATTTTCTTCAATTTTTCCCACTCTATTCTTTATTTACTTTCGAGCAATCGACTAATTGTCGAAAAGTTGAAGACGACTATTTTGTTCTATAGGATTTCTTATTCCTCTCACTATGATGTTATAAAGCTTAAGTTTTTAAGTTGGTAAAACTGTTTATAGTAAGTAATGCTGTTTTTGATTGAAACAGTTGCATATTTTTAGAATGAAATATAAAAACCACAGCATACTTATGGGATTGTTAAATAATAATGACCATAAAAAATTTACGTTGCTACAGCGGAGTGTCAGCGATATGGGTCATATCATACTACCGACCTCAACCAAACATACTACTTCTTTTTCCTCTTTCCATAGTTCATTCATTCATTTTATTTTATTAGTCATTTTAAATATGTCACTTTGATGGCTAAGCGGTGTTTAATAGTAACAACGACATAATGGCAACGCTGTCAGCATTAAGTCACTTGAAAACGGCATTATCGACATTTGACAACAATACGGTTGCCAGACCTAGAAATAAAAACTTTGACAGTTTATTTATTTTACTCTCCCGCAAAATTCTTGTTTACGTTGTTTAATCATTATTTCTATTATATTGCGCCGATTCGGCTTAAGCCGACTAAGCCTAGCCGCCGAAAAAAATGTCAAAGCCGCCGCTGCCGAAAAATTTTCAGCTTAATACGGCTTGAAAATTTTGCAATATTTTGTACAATTTACAGAACACTTTCGCTAAATTTATGGAATTTTACAATATAAAATTAATTTGTTTTCATTTAAGCAAGTTTTCTTTTATCTAATAATAAGCCGCTCATTGAAATTTGGCCGGTGTAGAACTTTCCTCAACGTTCGATGTATATGCTTCGCCTCAGATATTTTCGTGTTTTACGCGCCTAATTCGAGTCGCTGCTTTTACTTCAAACCAGCTTCGTTGACGTCAACGGAGGTACACCTTTTTACATTGCTGGTATGTCATACCGTAAAAGGCTAGGATATCGAACATGTGTATTTTAAATGGGAAGTGCAGTTGATGACAATTCTGCCGACTGCGAAAATAAATTCTGCTAGAATTTTTCGCGCCAAACTGTTTTCTGCATTTTTTATTTGCAAAAAAAATCTGTTGTTGTGTGACAGAAATGATATTCTTTAAATAAAAAAATAATTTTTTACTAACAATTGAAATTAATAAGATTGTGTGCTTATACTACTATACCGAGGGTCATTGTGCAAAGAAACAGCAAGTGTTGGGTTTAATTTAGTTAAATTGTTAATAACTATAATGAACATGTTTTTCCAGGCGGGGTTTGTTTTCGTTTTGGGTATTATACCCAAAAGTGTTTATTGAAATCTAGATTTGGCATATTTGTGATATTTAGAAGATTAAAAAATGTAAGTAATGGTGTTAATTAATTATTTATTTGTCTATAAAGAACGTTTTTCTTTTCAAGAAAGAGGAGGCATCATGATGGTCTCCTGGAAGAATGCCCACAAGAGAGTGGCAATTGTATACCTCCCTAGTCACCTAGGCGGGTGGTGGTTGGTCGGCTAGTGGTTACATGGTATATTATCACCTAGAGGCAATGGACGGAAGCTGATTGCCGTATTCAGGGGGTATCCTTGGGATACATACTTATTATTATACCATTGATCTCAGCAGTCTGGTGTGCCTTTCAGTGAAGCTCTTGTTGTCTCCAAACACTATGGTGGCCGAATATTTACAAGAAACAATTGTTAAGCCGCCTTTTATACAAATTTATAGCTTTGTAGAGAATGTCTTCACGGACCTAGAGGATATAACCTGGCTAGGTATGTAGATGTTGTTTGGGCAAAATATTGGTATTAACCATTGTGGGCTTTATGTCGACTTTAGATCCCTTATAGTTGTCACACTATACCAAATAAGCATTCTTGCTGGAATTAAAGTTTAAAACAAGTTTAATTCCAGTCAAACATTCAAATTTCAAGTGTTGAAATACACTTTCATTACACTTTAATTCAATAGCATTCTCCAGTGAAAACGAAACTTGAATTCAAGTCGAACATTACAATGTTTTTACAGTACATATAATTCAATGCACGAAATCTATATACATACTGACTGACTGACTGATTCATCATCGTAGAGCCTAAACGGTTGAAACTAAAGAGCAGAAATTTGGGCAGGAGGTTGGTGTCCCACCAAATGTATCCAATAAGACGGGATTTTTGAAAATATAATATTAAACATAGAAACATGAAAGCATGTAGAGCCCCGATTAAGTGAGAAACTGTAAAAGGGGACTTTTTGGTTCTTCAAAAGGCACATTTTAATTTTATATATAATAATGAACCTAGAAACGTGAAATTAAGCATGTAGAGCCCGGATTAAGTGAGGTCCTATAAAAGGGGACTTTTTGGTACTTTTTCGTTCTTCAAAAGGTACTTTTTCTGGGGGGCTTGGCACTTCCCATATGGGGGGCTTGGCACTTCCCATATGAATTAAATACAAAATTTTGTGTATCTGGGAAACTATTAGATTATTCAAATTTTTCATATATTAAATTAAAATCTTAATTAACGTTCGGAATAATTGGCAATATTACAATAATTTGCATTGAATCTCCCATATGTAATAAATTGTATATCTGGAAAACCATTGTAGTTAAAATCATCAAAATCGTTAAGTGGGTTTCTTATTTATATTGCTTTTAGGGTAGCACAGCACACTGGGTATAGCTAGTAAATTACGTTATTGATCATTTTCTTAATGCAAAATTTTTTAGAAACTGATTTTCTGCAAGATGTTTTATATGGAGGATAGGGTTAAATATCGGCAGATCCTCGTAAAACTTGGAGAAAGGATTTGTTTTTAATTTTTAAGAATATTTTATTCATCCCTGCATAATTTCTCACACAACTTTTGAGCTTGCTCTGTTTTGTTGTTATAAACAATATATTTGTTTCCAAATTCCCACTTTCTGATCTCTCGGATTCCGTTTTTATTTAAAACCGTTGAAAAATTAAAAACTAAACGTAATTGAACAGTTGATTTTAAGCCGCCGCCGACATATTTAGTGACAGTCGACGCCGCCGTTAATATTTGTCGGCGCAGGGCTCTGGTGCACCCATAAATTATTTTTGCTTGGCATTATCAAAAAAAGCTAATAAACAAAGTAATATAAATTAAATAACATTAAAAATTTAGATGCTAGATAACAAAACATAATAACAATTTAGTTTATTATTTGACACCCAACAAAATGCAAGCTCATGCCAAGGAAACTCCCCAAGAAGAATTGGAAAAATTGGTCATAGTCACCGGCTTTGGACCATTTATAGGACATGAATCAGTAAATGCTAGTTGGGAGGCGGTAACTATGATAAAATATTTATAGAAAATGTCAAAATTATTTGATTTTCTTATAGGTACGCTTACTGCCCGATGAAATTTTCCATCAAAATACTGCCTACAAATTGGAAAAATTAGAAGTACCTGTTGAATATGAAGCGGTAGACAAGGCTGTTGAAGACATATGGTCACGACGTCCCACTTTGGTTATACACTGTGGTGTACATGGCATGGCTACTTGTGTTAATGTGGAAAAATTGGCCTATAATAACAATTTCAAAAGGGCCGACTATGCCGGCAAACATTTGCCAAATGCCACGGCCTGTTTGAAAAATTGTCCAGCCAAAAAGTCCGCCATATTTTGTAAATTAAATTTGAAAAAAATTATAGAGGTAATAAGTGATAATTGCGGCTGCACACCGGATTATGCTAAGGAAGATAATAAAACCGAGGAAATTACAAAAATTGCCCGCATATCCAAAGAAGTGGGCAATTATTTGTGTGGTTATATTTATTTGAAATCCCTGGATCGTGACTGCTGCCGTACACTCTTTGTACATGTACCGCCTTTGGATAAACCCTTTAGTGCTGAGAAACTAAGTGAGGTGGTTTTGAAAATCACCGAGGAATGTTTGAGACAAGTATTGGAAGAAGGTAATGATATAAAAAAATAATTTACATTCACATGTAACTATTGTATTTCAATTGAGTTATACACAATGAGATCATACAACAACCACACAACAAGGCCAACGAATCTAAAAAAAAGCTGCTAAAACCAAAAAAGAGGGCATACTTTTGGGCTGGACCGTAAATTGTGTATTCCTCAACAGTATTAACAATTATTTGCTTTTACGAATAAAGAAACATATATTACAGGAACATATTTTTAAAATAGACTTCTTTTGATATATAAATAAAATAATAAAAAACCAACCGCTCCAAAGTCACCCATATACTCCATAAAACATCAACTTTTTGTTAGAAAAACTAAAATCGCTTATAACTTTGTTAAAACACGTTTAAATTGAAAAATAAGCTTATTTTGGGATCACCCATATTTTGCTTTTGAAAACTAAAATTGCTTATAACTTTGTTAAAACACGTTTAAATTGAAAAATAAGCTTATTTTGTGATCACCACCCATATTTTCCCCCAAAAATCGTTTTTTTTGGTCGAAAACCATAGAAAAATAAAATCGCTTATAACTTCGTTAAAACACGTTTAAATTGAAAAATAAGCTTATTTTGTGATCACCCATATTTTCCCCCAAAAATCGATTTTATTGGTCGAAAACCATAGAAAACTAAAATCGCTAATAACTTCGTTAAAATACGTTTAAATTGAAAAATAAACTTATCTTGTGATCACCCATATTTCCCTCCAAAAATCAATTCTTTTGTTAGAAAACTAAAATCGTTTATAACTTCGTTAAAACATGTTTAATTTAAAAAATAAGCTTATTTTGTGATCATCCATATTTCAGCACACCGAATCCATCCCCCATCCAAAAAGTCGATTTTTTTGTTCGAAAACCTTAGAAAACTTAAATTGCTTATAACTTCGTTAAAACACGTTTAAATTGAAAAATAAGCTTATTTTGTGATCACCCATATTTTCCCCCAAAAATCGATTTTTTTGTTCGAAAACCTTACAAAAACTAAAATCGCTTATAACTTCGTTAAAACACGTTTAAATTGAAAAATAAGCTTATTTTGTGATCACCCATATTTTCCCCCAAACCTTAGAAAACTAAAATCCTTTATAACTTCGTTAAAACACGTTTAAATTGAAAAATATATAATAATAATAAATATAATAAATAAGCTTATTTTGTGATCACCCATATTTTCCCCCAAAAATCGATTTTTTTGTTCGAAAACCTTTGAAAACTAAAATCGCTTATAACTTCGTTAAAACACGTTTAAATTGAAAAATAAGCTTATTTTGTGATCACCCATATTTTCCCCCAAAAATCGATTTTTTAGTTCGAAAACCTTAGAAAACTAAAATCGTTTATAACTTCGTTAAAACACGTTTAAATTGAAAAATAAGCTTATTTTGTGATCACCCATATTTGCCCCCAAAAATCGATTTTTTAGTTCGAAAACCTTAGAAAACTAAAATCGCTTATAACTTCGTTAAAACACGTTTAAATTGAAAAATAAGCTTATTTTGTGATCACCCATATTTTCCCCCAAAAATCGATTTTTTAGTTCGAAAACCTTAGAAAACTAAAATCGCTTATAACTTCGTTAAAACACGTTTAAATTGAAAAATAAGCTTATTTTGTGATCACCCATATTTTCCCCCAAAAATCGATTTTTTAGTTCGAAAACATTAGAAAACTTAAATCGCTTATAACTTCGTTAAAACACGTTTAAATTGAAAAATAAGCTTATTTTGTGATCAACCATATTTTCCCCAAAAATCGATTTTTTAGTTCGAAAACCTTAGAAAACTTAAATCGTTTATAACTTCGTCAAAACACGTTTAAATTGAAAAATAAGCTTATTTTGTGATCACCCACAATTTCCTCCAAATATCGATTTTTTATTCTGAAAACCTTAGAAAACTAAAATCGCTTATAACTTCGTTAAAACACGTTTAAATTGAAAAATAAGCTTATTTTGTGATCACCCATATTTTTTCTCAAAAGTCTATATTTTTGTTCGAAAACCTTTGAAAACTAAAATCGCTTATAACTTCGTTAAAACACGTTTAAATTGAAAAATAAGCTTATTTTGTGATCACCCATATTTTCCCCTAAAAATCGATTTTTTAGTTCGAAAACCTTAGAAAACTAAAATCGTTTATAACTTCGTTAAAACACGTTTAAATTGAAAAATAAGATTATTCTGTGATTATCCATATTTTCCCCTAAAAATCGATTTTTTAGTTCGAAAACATTAGAAAACTAAAATCGCTTATAACTTCGTTAAAACACGTTTAAATTGAAAAATAAGCTTATTTTGTGATCACCCATATTTTCCTCCAAAAACCGATTTTTTAAACACGTTTAAATTGCAAAATAAACTTATTTTGTGATCACCCATATCGATCACCCGAAAAACCGTTTTCTTGTTTGAAAACATTAAAAAACTTAAATCGCTAATAACTTCGTTAAAACGCGTTTAAATTGAAAAATAAGCTTATTTTGTGATCACTCATATTTTCCCCAAAAAAATCGATTTTTTAGTTCGAAAACATTAGAAAACTAAAATCGCTTATAACTTCGTTAAAACATGTTTAAATTGAAAAATAAGCTTATTTTGTGATCACCCATATTTTCCCCAAAAAATCAATTTTTTGGTCGAAAACCTTAGAAAACTAAAACCGCTTATAACTTCGTTAAAATAAGTTTAAATTGAAAAATAAGCTTATTTTGTGATCACCCATATTTTCCCCCAAAAATCGATTTTTTTTGGTCGAAAACCTTAGAAAACTAAAATCGCTTATAACTTCGTTAAAACACGTTTAAATTGAAAAATAAGCTTATTTTGTGATCACCCATATTTTCCCCCAAAAATCGATTTTTTTGTTCGAAAACCATAGAAAACTAAAATCGCTTATAACTGCGTGAAAACACGTTTAAATTGAAAAATAAGCTTATTTTGTGATCACCCATATTTTCCCACAAAAATCGATTTTTTTGTTCGAAAAGCATAGAAAACTAAAATCGCTTATAACTTCGTTAAAACACGTTTAAATTGAAAACTAAGCTTATTTTGTGATCACCCATATTTTCCTTCAAAAATCGATTTTTTTGTTCGAAAACCTTTGAAAACTAAAATCGCTTATAACTTCGTTAAAACACGTTTAAATTGAAAAATAAGCTTATTTTGTGATCACCCATATTTTCCTTCAAAAATCGATTTTTTTGTTCGAAAACCTTTGAAAACTAAAATCGCTTATAACTTCGTTAAAACACGTTTAAATTGAAAAATAAGCTTATTTTGTGATCACCCATATTTTCCTTCAAAAATCGATTTTTTTGTTCGAAAACCTTTGAAAACTAAAATCGCTTATAACTTCGTTAAAACACGTTTAAATTGAAAAATACGCTTATTTTGTGATCACCCATATTTTCCTTCAAAAATCGATTTTTTTGTTCGAAAACCTTTGAAAACTAAAATCGCTTATAACTTCGTTAAAACACGTTTAAATTGAAAAATAAGCTTATTTTGTGATCACCCATATTTTCCTTCAAAAATCGATTTTTTTGTTCGAAAACCTTTGAAAACTAAAATCGCTTATAACTTCGTTAAAACACGTTTAAATTGAAAAATAAGCTTATTTTGTGATCACCCATATTTTCCTTCAAAAATCGATTTTTTTGTTCGAAAACCTTAGAAAACTAAAATCGCTTATAACTTCGTTAAAACACGTTTAAATTGAAAAATAAGCTTATTTTGTGATCACCCATATTTTCCTTCAAAAATCGATTTTTTTGTTCGAAAACCTTTGAAAACTAAAATCGCTTATAACTTCGTTAAAACACGTTTAAATTGAAAAATAAGCTTATTTTGTGATCACCCATATTTTCCTTCTAAAATCGATTTTTTTGTTCGAAAACCTTTGAAAACTAAAATCGCTTATAACTTCGTTAAAACACGTTTAAATTGAAAAATAAGCTTATTTTGTGATCACCCATATTTTCCTTCTAAAATCGATTTTTTTGTTCAAAAACCTTTGAAAACTAAAATCGCTTATAACTTCGTTAAAACACGTTTAAATTGAAAAATAAGCTTATTTTGTGATCACCCATATTTTCCTTCAAAAATCGATTTTTTTGTTCGAAAACCTTTGAAAATTAAAATCGCTTATAACTTCGTTAAAACACGTTTAAATTGAAAAATAAGCTTATTTTGTGATCACCCATATTTTCCTTCAAAAATCGATTTTTTTGTTCGAAAACCTTTGAAAACTAAAATCGCTTATAACTTCGTTAAAACACATTTAAATTGAAAAATAAGCTTATTTTGTGATCACCCATATTTTCCTTCAAAAATCGATTTTTTAGTTCGAAAACCTTTGAAAACTAAAATCGCTTATAACTTCGTTAAAACACGTTTAAATTGAAAAATAAGCTAATTTTGTGATCACCCATATTTTCCACCAAAAATCGATTTTTTTGTTCGATAACTTTTGAAAACTAAAATCGCTTATAAAATTGAAAAATAAGCTTATTTTGTGATCACCCATATTTTTTCTCAAAAATCTATATTTTTGTTCGAAAATCTTTGAAAACTAAAATCGCTTATAACTTCGTTAAAACACGTTTAAATTGAAAAATAAGCTTATTTTGTGATCACCCATATTTTCCCCCAAAAATCGATTTTTTAGTTCGAAAACCTTAGAAAACTAAAATCGTTTATAACTTCGTTAAAACACGTTTAAATTGAAAAATAAGCTTATTTTGTGATCACCCATATTTTCCCCAAAAAATCGATTTTTTAGTTCGAAAACATTAGAAAACTAAAATCGCTTATAACTTCGTTAAAACACGTTTAAATTGAGAAATAAGCTTATTTTGTGATCACCCATATTTTCCTACAAAAACCGATTTTTAAGGTCGAAAACCTTAGAAAACTAAAATCGCTTATAACTTCGTTAAAACACGTTTAAATTGAAAAATAAGCTTATTTTGTGATCACCCATATTTTCACCCAAAAATCGATTTTTTTATTCCGAAAACCTTAGAAAACTAAAATCGCTTATAACTTCGTTAAAACACGTTTAAATTGAAAAATAAGCTTGTTTTGTAATCACCCATATTTTCCTTCAAAAAATCGTTTTTTAAATGTTTGCTAGAAATCGTATTTTTCCATAATTTAGTCTTTTTTGATTCCGCATACAATTAGATTTTTGTTGATTTAAATCTAC